ACAGATCATGGCTGATGACACCCCAATAAGTGAATGATGGCTTTGTTGAAAATATTCTATAATAGAAGGGGAAACTCAGAGCTCTGCTCATATAAATACTACACATGCATGCCCTTCCTAAAGCAAAAACAAATTCATTACCATCAACCCTTCAAGTTCCTATCTTACCCTACACATATAAGTATGGGCAACTGCCTAATTGTTCAAGAAAAGGCCGTCAAGATAATGGAAACAGATGCAAATCAAGTGCCATCAGAAACTTCGCATAATGCAATATTTGAAGAGGTTTCGGAAGTAAAATACCTTCACCGTAATGATGAACTGAAGAATCTGGTTCCTATACGAGCTACACCTCCCATGCCTATCAAGAAGATCAATAAGAAAGTTAAATTTTCAGACGATGTGTTGGAAGATGCACGGGTTGTGAGAATTAAGCTTGTGATCAGCAAACGAGAGCTACAGGCAATGCTTAGTAAAGGAGGAGTTTCAGTTGATCACAGAGTTTTGGGCGTTCAGAAAAAAGAACACATGAAGATCATAGGAGAAGATGAGCAGAGCAGTGGTGTGACCCCAAAAGTATGGTCCACGGCCCTCGAAAGCATCCCCGAAGTAAACTAACTTTCAAATTGTAAATACAGTCCAGAAGATATCAACGAAAACAAAACAGGATTCATGTTTTCATGTTAGACTTCTTTTAGATGCAAAACATATTGCACTATAGTTCAGCCAGAAGCCATTCAAAGCTAAATAACAACTTGTATTACAATAATGACTTATATTTTTACAGTGAACTGATTCAATCAGAATGCTGAAATCATGAAGTCGTATAGTCATAAGCATGAATAATGGCCAAAATTCCTTCGAGCTTAGGGTTTTGATCACCTGAACTTTGATATCCCCCAAGTGATGGAGTTCGAATCCAAATCGAACACTCCAACGCTAAAAATCACCGGTGCAGCGCTCCGAAAGGTAAGGAATCTCCCGTCCATCGCAAAGTGCACAATGCTGTACCAAAATCCGAAGCGCAGCCCGAACTATTTTTCTTTACTGAAACAAAAGAGAGAAAATCCAATTAGAAACATACCATCATTGAACAGTTCATTTATGGCGAAGGAAGACGTGACGATATTGTCAGGAACGTTGATCACCGTCTCTCCGCGTCCCACTACTCTTCGCCAAGGCGTGTTAGCACGTGATCCGCCTTCCGAAAGCTTCGGACACGTTCGGTGATATCTCCGCGCCTCCGGCCTCCGGCGACACCGCCGTATGTTTGTGACTGCTCAGCCTGCATCCGTCACCGGAGTTAGTGCTACGTATCGACATATGTAACGGCATTGAGCCATTTAATTTAATTGGGCCTTTTTTCAGTGTCTATTGGGCCTTAGGGGGGCTATATTGGGTCTTGACAGAATCAAATAAACTCTATTGAACGCGTCCACTAATATTTTATATTCAATATTAAATTATTTTTTTTTATACTCACTCCGTCCACGAGTAAATAACTATTTGTTTTTTACACATAATTTTAGAAATATTAGTATTATATTGAAATATAGTAGAAATGACTAAAATAACCTTATTAGTATGTGTGATATAGAGGTGATGATATTTGTGTAATATATTGTAAGTTGTAAGGGTATTTGTAATGTTAAGTATATAGTACAGTTACTAAAAAAAAGAAATTGATACTTTATTATGGACAGACTAAAATGGAAAAATGAATATTTTGTTATGGAACGGAGGGAGTAATATATATCTTCTTAGTTTATTTTCTATAACATAAGAACAACCGGTACAAATATTACATCTACTTCATTATCTATTTTATCTCTCTCATCTACGTCGTATTCAACTCAATATTTAAATTACTTTATTTACCACTTGTTATAGTAATCACTTTCAACAAATTACTTTTAGGGTTTGTTTCGTTCAAACGAGGAGAGGGGAGGGGAGGGGGGTTGAAGAGAGGGAAAAAAATATTAAAATTGTAATAACGTGTTTGGTTCATACGAGAGGGAGGGGGGAGGGGAGGTGAAGGGAGGGAAAAAAATATTGAAATTGTAATAGTGTGTTTGGTTCATACATTATTACATCTTAGAAGAATCAAATAATTTATACATTAGTTATTTATTAAATTTACCAATCAAGATAAACAATAGTTTTACGTATAAATAAAAACACTATAACAAAAATTATATAAACTAAGTATATTATAAAAATATTTTATATTTTATAATTTTTAATATTAATTAAATTATTTACTTATCTTAATTTTAATTTATAATTATTTTTACTATACAATAATGATTTTTACTAGTACATTTCTTAATTACTTACTAATTATATTTTATCTAAATTATCATATTTACATATATTACATGAGACAAAAGAAGTAAAATATTAGTATTATAGATATAATTATATGCTAATTTGTAATTTATTAAAAAATATTATAATTAAACTTGATTAAAAAAATTAATTAAAACTATTTTAAAATATATAATATAATTTTAATATATATTAATATTTATTTGATATAATTAAAAATAAAATAAATGAATATTAAAATTTTGAAAGATGTTATAAAATTTTTAATAAAATATATAAAAGGTATAATAGACAATTAGATAAAAAAAAAAAAAATTAATAAAATCCCCCCTCCAAATTCCTCCAAATTGGAGGGGAAAAAAAAAAAAAAATTGACTCCCCTCCCCTCTAAAAAAATTTGAATCAAACACAAAAAAAAATTTATAATTCCCTCACCTTCTCTCTTCTTCCATCATAAACCCTCAAACCAAACAGACTTTTATTATTCTATAGGATCCACACTAATTTATTTATTTTTATATATTTTTATGGCATAATATATAAAAAATATTTATTTATTTATACATATTTCTATTTTTTTTATTATCTAATAATATTTTTATATAATATTATATTAAATTTTTAAATTTTAATCTATATAAATTTTAATATATTAAACATATAATTTACTATTTTAAAAATTAAAATTATTCGAGTAAATCAAAATATATATTAAATAATTTCTGTTGAATTGATAATTTTAAAAAACTTTAAATAATATTTAATTATTTTTTTGTTAATTTTTGTTAAAAGGTAATCCGTTTTTTACGAATGTAATAAATAGTGAATAACTGTATTTTAAAGATAATACTCCCTCCGTCCCAAATACCATGTCCACGTTGTCGTTTCTATCCGTCCCACATACCATGTCATTTTCCTTTTTGAAAATGATTATACACTTTAATCTCATTTTAAGTTTTTTAATTTTATTTTTTAATTTTAATTAAACTAATTAGTTATCTTAATTTTAATTTATAATTATTTATAATATATGATAATTATTTTCATTCATACATTCTTAATTATCTACTAATTACACCCCTCCTAAAATAAGTACTGTGTCTACAATGTAGCAGACACGGTATCTGGGATGAAGAAAGTAAGAAATATAACTAGTTATTGTAGTAAAAACTTAAAAGATAATCATAAAGTAATAAGAGAAATAACCTTAAGAGATGCTCTAATTGGTAGACATTTCAAATAAAAAAGTAGAATATTAGTTTATAAAAGAAAGAAATATTATTTTAAAAATTGTGCTAATAATATATATATATATATTTAGATGGACACATATTTTTATTTAATTTCAAATATTTTGTTTAAAAGGTAAATTGCATAATAATTTTTATATTTTAATATAAATATAAAACTATTTTTTTTTATTTTTTTTATTACGTAAAATTTTATTTTTTTAAATTAAAATATGCATAAAATATTATTTTCGTCCAAAATTGATAAAATTTAATCCGTAGCTAATTATATAAGCTATATACAAATAAAAAATAAAATATTTTAAATAGTATTCCATCCGTTCCTAGTTTTTATTTTCGTTCGTCCCACATAATTTGTGAGAACTCGTGACCTCACGGTCATAAGTTCAGCCCCTACACCACCCACCAGCATCCCTTGCAGGGCAGAATTATTGTGTTGGAGTTTAATTACCCTACTCCGGGACTGGGTATGGTCCTATCTCTCTCCCTATTCTCTCTATAGTTTCCAATCAAGAGGTGTCATTTAAATTTTTTTTTTTCTTATTAAAAATTAATCTTATGATTAAATTGTAATTAATTATTCATTAGGTATTGTAATTATATTTGTCCCGGAAAAATTTCTCCAACAATCTAATTTTGAATTTATTTTTATAAATATTTTAAAAATTGGTTCAAAAATTTCTAATACTATTTGGCGAATTAAGCCTCGAAATCTTTAAAATTGCTTCGAAAATTTCTAATTCAATTGAATGACAACGAGTTTTTGGTACCATTTCGAAGCGAATTCTTAAGTTTTTCAAATTTTATCTTGGAAGCAGTTGAATATTTAAATCAATGTTCTAAAATAAATCATAAAATTTCTGATAATAATATATTGAATTGTCATTTTACATATGTACAATTAATATCAGGTCGTTCTTTTACTATATACTCTAATATAAATAACTAATATATTCTACTAATTAACATTATAATTAGTAGTTAACAACTAATTGAATTGTCTAACCAAATTAAAATTATCAACCATTTGTTAAATACACTCAAACTCTTAAAAGAAATAAAGTCAATATTTTCAGAGAAAAAAAAAATAATAATTTTAGTAGGATAAAAAAATTAAAATAAACACAAGTAACGTAATGTCTCAACAATACACATTTAAATTAGCTACTTTCTCTACATCACATAATTTGTTTATATTTTTTATTTTCTTTTTTTTAAAAAAAAATTAATTATACATTTTAATTATATTTTAAAATTTATTTATAATTTTTAAAATCTTAATTATCTTAATCTATAATTATTTTTACTAAATAATAATAATTTTTTTTAATACACTTATTAATTACTTACTAATTATACTGTAACTCAAGAACATAAAGCAATAATTTGTCACCAAAATCTAAAATATAACAAATAAATAAATAAATGATATGATGAAATATTTTGATAATTAATTAATTTCATTAGAAAATATCAACAAGTGATTTATCAACAGAAATAAAATTTCGAAAAATAAAACTGGTAACCGTACGCCCATCACCGTCGCCGTCGGCCGGAACTCTCGACTCTGATTCCGGCGCCGGAGTTCGCCCTGGTCCGGCGGCCTTCCTCCACCAGCGCCTCCCTGGCGGACAGGATCGGGGTGGCGGCGAGGGCGGCGTCGAAGGCGGAGCAATCAATCCAGTCCTTGAGGAAGTCCTCCTCGCCCCAAATCTCCGGTATCCAGACACGGCCGGCGGCGACCTCTGTCTGGTGCCGCCGGAGCCTCTCCCGGACCCCGGCGGCAGCGTCGTCTACTGTTCCCTCCCCTGCTGTGTGTGCAGTTAGAGCAGAAATAGTCGAATGCATTTTTGGGGGCGATTCAGATGGAAGGATTTTTGGGGGTAGGGTTTCTATGGTGGGGTTCTTCTTCGGAGCCATTTTTTTTTTCAAAAAAATCAACACTCAATAATACCCAATACTCATACATTGATATATATATATATATATTTATAACGTGAAAAAATTCACACCTCACGGTCATAAGTTCATTCCTTACAAAACCACACTACACTTTACGGGACAAAAATGAATTTTTATTTTATTTTTTATTTTTTTAAAAATATATATTTTATTGAAAAAATGACAGATAATCGAAAGTATTTTTAAAAATTTAGTTAGAAATTAAAATAAACTAAGGGAAAAAATGGAATAAAGTTAGTAATATTTGTTTAAATGAATCGATTGTAATAATTAAATATTAATTTTCCAAAATTAGTACAAAATAAAATTAAAAAACTAGAATAAATTTGACGAACGAAAAAAGTAATATTTTAAATAAAAATTAAAATTGTTCTGATTTTATTTTTTCAAATTAGAATTATTAGTTTCTATGATTTCAAACATATAGTTCCTTTTATATTTTAATTTTACCTATAAAAAAAACATGTTTTTTTATAATATTTATTACAAAAATCTTTCTATTATAAATATTTTAATTATATTTTTAAATTTTATAATTTTGTATTATATTGTAATTATTTTTTTTTAATATTTATAGTATGTCACGAGGTTATATATATATATATATATATATCCAAAATTGAATGAAATGTTTTGTCTACACATCATAGAAAGTGTGATGTGCTTTAAATTTGCATGGTTAGAGACAAGTGTACGTGTATGTCTTTTTCTTCCATTTTTATTTTTTAATTCAATTTATTATGGATATTCCATTTTCGTGGTTTCTTTTTCTTCATTCATTGGGTGATGGGTGATATGCCTGAGAGAGCCCGGGATCCCGAGTCCCGTCCTAATCTACAAGCATGTAGAGTAGAGGTCCCAGGATTCGCCCAACAAACTGTGGCATGTATGATGATGAAGGGAGGTAGTTATGAACTTATGATTGGGAAGGCCTTAAATGGATTTTGGGGTTGGAATTGTGAGGTTGATGTTGATTTTCAGAAATAATAATTAAAGAATAAAAATAAAATGTGTGATTTTCGGACTGCCTGGGCCTATGTTGATAGAGATTTTGATATTATAGATAATAAATTACACTGTGTGTGTATTGATATTTTTCTTGGTAAAATTGGGGTGTTAATTTCGTAATTTATTTTTTATATATTTTTATTTTCTTTTTTATGACGTGGAATCCGCAATCGCTACCCGAAAGTGTGCACCCGGTAAACCTCCGGCCGAACCTAATTATTTTAGTTTTGATTGTTTTTTTAAATGAGTCAGACGTAATATTATGTTACAAAAATTAATATTCCTAAAATTGAAAGTACTTATACTACGAAACAGTATGAACAAAATTTTATGTATTTGTGTTTGTTCATTCATATTAGCAAACATGGCTCGCGTATTCATTCGTTAAACATTTGAGCTCATTTATATTGTTCGAATTTGTATTAGTATTCGGCTCAAATAAGTTTGTTTCAAATTTGTTTAGGTATATATGATATTTTATTTTACTTTAAAATTTATATATATAATATTTTATTTTATATTTCTTTTTTTAATTCATATATATAATATTTTATTTATTTATTTTAATTAATAATTATATATATATATTTTTTCGAACATCAGCGAATAAGGCTCAAGTTTGTTTGTTAAAAAAACGAGCCTATTTTTATTATTCAGATCGGCTTGGTTCGTTTAACTGCTCTATTTGCAATAAAAAATAATCACAAACTAATATCAAAATACCTTTAATTTTAATATAAATTAGAAACATGCTAGTACAAGCATAAATAACAAAAATATCAAAACCATCTATCAAGGATATAATGAGGCGAACAAAATTTATTTACTCATTTCAACCTCGATTGATAGTCCAACAAGCAATAGAGAAATCGAAGAAATTGAAGTTCCAGATATATTGAAGTAGAAATCAAAATCGTCCAACCATGAAATTGCACCATATAGTGGACTCGATTTACTCAATTTATATACAATATTGTATATTAATCAATTTTAGATTAGTAGATAGACAAATTATTATATACCTAAAAAAAACTTTCATTAAATTATATAAAAAGAAATTTTAAGGTATGAAGGTTTTTTCAGCAAATTTTGCAAACCATAAGATTTTTTTTTTTTTTGCTATTTTGCCTAATAGTACTAACAAAAAGACAAATAGTACTATGCTAAATCTAGATTTGTAGGCTCCTAACACATTTTGAAAATCATTCTTTTGAATCCAAACAAACATCTCAATTCTCAACCCCATCTTTTTCAATGCGCAATAAACATTCATATCAAGAAAGCATGCCCCAAAAAAATTTAAAATTTCTGTACACAAACAAGCTGTGAAGGGCAGATTAAACCTGTTCGAAGTGATGGAATTAAGCTCTTGGATAGCGAGAGCGACCTTTCTTCCTCAAGAACTCGGGGATCTCCACAGGGCCGCCTTCCGGGTAGGGCGAGGGTCTTCTGTTCAGACTGATATTTGAGTCCCCTTGAGTCAGCTGACTCGACTGCAAGATGATTGTTGCACATGTAAGACGACAAATAAGTTTAGCGCGCCCAGTGGATGTGTCTGTGTGTACCTGGAGGTTTCTCCCATCGCTCTCCTCTTGTCGTTTGAAACCGGTGGCGATCAGAGTAATGCTCACCTGAATAAATTAGCGAAATAAAGCTGAATTTGTTAAACTAGCAGTTTCAATCGAATGTTGCATTGTTCGGAAGTTGTCTCGGAGATAGTCAGTATGTTCACTCAGCATTTTTTAATGGAACAATTCCCTATAAATAATATTAAAAAAATACAAATATACGCACATTAATATATATATATATTATCCACTCATAAAAAATCTACCATTCAACACAAAAATATTATTTTTATTACTAACAACACAGTTCCCCATACCACACACAAAAAATTAATTCATATCCTAACTGAACAGACTGAATATCTTCATTTCCTAAGTTGTGGAAGTGTTCGATGGGATATATACTTACTTGACCGCTTAGTGATGGATCTATAACAGCCCCGAAAATTAAGTTGGCGCTTGGATCTACAAGATCGTATATAACTTCTGCTGCTGCATTCACCTGTTGATTTTATGTTTCAAAACGCATATCGGATCGAGTATCAAGAACAGGTGAATTATGCGAAAGATGGATGGACATTGAGTAATTAAGACAAAATAACAGCCTCTAGGACAATTTTATTTTTCTATATACATTAACAAAAACATGCATTTTGTATAGCTTTCGTATAAGAGGAGGAAATTATACGCCACACTATATGCTATTGATTCGATGCAAAAGCTTCGCCAATATTATTCAAATTTTCGAAGTTTTTTTTTTTTTTTTTTTTTCATCTTTTCACATGATCCTGCAGGAATTTCTTTTGTTCTTATATTTTACAAAAGATTGGAATAACAATATTGAAATTTAGGAGATATAGAACTGTAAGAATCTACCTCGAACAACGTTAGATCATTCCCGCCAGTTATATTCCACACAATTCCAGTTGCTCGGTCGATACCAATATCCAGCAGAGGAGATTGGATGGCATTTAAAGCAGCATCTCTGGCCCTGGTTTTCCCTGTCAGAAAATGACACCGGATTTATAGGTTGTCTTTTTTTGCATAATCAGGTTCATTTCACACGATTAAATTTGTCTATTCCTAATGTTATGTCTAAATTGGAGAGGAAATATCACATAGTATTGCACATCCCAAAAGGGGACCACTCCTACTCACTCTATACTATTGCAGCCCATCTGCGCCAAGCCGAAAACCATTAGATTAAGTTTCCCTATTTACCACTTGGACACGATCTTCGTAAGTAAATAGAGATCATTGACAATAACATGGTTTACAATGTCGAATGCTAATGGTAATTTACTGAATGCTCTATTACCACCCATAACAGTCTTCTTAGTTACACAGCACAGTGTATGCAATATCAAATATAAATATATATTCATATATATATATAGCATATCCAAAAGTGATATATATAATATATATATATATATATAAGTGATGCCTAAACTGAGGATTTGTTCTTTTATTTTCAACACTATTCTCAACTTTTAAAAAATATATATGTATATTACATTTTCCAAAAATCATATTTTATTTCCTCTCACAAAACATTTTTAAAGAATAATAAAATTATTTCATCAAAACACTTTACAATTTTCAATGACTAGCTGAAAAAAATCTCCCTATTCCTAAAACACTAATTCACAATCTGAGTTTCCCATGATTCTTAAAAGATACGGAGGAAGTTATCTAGGATCAAGAGATAATAATCGAAGTAGTCTAGAAGGTAACACTATGGACACGAAACCTTGAAACTTCTTCAACTTACCGGTTGCAGTTCCGATTCCCATTAATGAAGAACCTGCACTAGCCATAATAGCTCTCACATCAGCAAAATCTACATTTACTAAGCCTGGGATCTGCAAGAAACTCAAATGGATTACCCGGTTTGCTTAAGAATATACGAAAAAAATCAATTAACAGTTATTATTATGCAGAACAGAATAATTTCAGAACAAAGCTAGGAATAGATTATAAAATGAAGCACTAAAGTCATTCAGGTAAAAGAGTTGAAAAAAATCTTCTCACTTTTGCCAAGGACAGATAAACTACAATAATATATTTGACTAATCAAGCAAACATAGCACTCATGATTGTATTTGATCAACCATACCGTGATAATGTCAGATATTCCACGAACTCCTTGACGAAGAATATCATCAGCAATATTAAATGCTTCTGTCACTGGCATGGATGGGGAAACTGCAGTGAGCAATTTGTCGTTTGGAATGACAATTAAGGTGTCAACGTTTTCTCGTAAAGCTGCAATTCCTTCTTGTGCTTGAACAGCTCTTCTGCGTCCTTCGAAAGAGAATGGAGTGGTAACTATTCCAACAGTCAAGATACCCATGGACTTTGCTATTCCAGCAATTATAGGAGCTCCACCCGTGCCTGTTCCCCCACCCATTCCAGCCTACAATATTACAGCACAAATAAATCAAACTAGTTGAAAGAGCAAAAGATGATGTATGTGAATTATATAGCATTGTATGTAAACAAGTCAAGTGTAAATATCACATTTTCTTTCTGTCGCATTCTACCCACCTAAAATTTACCAGCAAATTAAAAAATGACATCCCGTTTTCAAGCATTCATAGAATGTACCATAAAATAAATGCAAAAGCAAAAAATAGTAATTTGAAATCAAGAGAGCGAGAACAGAATGATAGTAAAACCTAGATTTCCACCTGCCTTAGATTCGATTTCCAGTGTTATTACAACTCGAAAGATAAATGATATTTATGGGACAAAATTACAATCCTATTAAACCAAAACAGAGTTCCTTTCGGAAAATTCCAACACAACTAGGATCAGTGGAAGAGAAATTATCAGCAAGGGTGACATATAAAAAAGATTTTAGCAGCCAATCACTTCAACCATCCAACTTTGAAAGAATGGCAGCTACTCATTCATCACCATTAAACTCGTAAGCTATGCAGTTGACCATTTAGCAAGTTAGGATACGAATTTTAGCTAGCATTATTTATTATCTCTACTCTCCAAAACGACTACAAGTAATTTCTTGAGAGCTCCATGAAGATGTGTTTACTAATAAGAATTGGAACAAAACCATGAACAAAGAATTATTTGAGAAATTATCAGGTCAATTCATTCCAAGAATGATCGGCAATCTAAGATCAGAGACTTACAGTGACAAAGACCATGTCAGCTCCATCAAGTGCATCCTCTATAGCTTCTTTGCTTTCTTTAGCAGCAGTCATCCCAACATCAGGGTTCCCACCAGCACCAAGTCCTCTGGTCGACTCTTCCCCAATCTGCAAGCGATGCTCAGGAAAAACAGGCGACATCTTCATGGCTTGCACATCAGTGTTAACTATCCAGAACTCAACTCCCTTCATTGCACTCTCTATCATGCGGTTAACTGCATTCGAACCACCACCTCCAACGCCAATAACCTTGATTCTGGCCTCATTATAGTTGCTATTCACATTTGATGAAACTTTCAAATTCTCAGTATCAACTCCACCAGTACTACCCTGTCCCGGATTAAGAGTTGTCGAGTTCGTCTCGCCTCTCAGCAGTGAGATCTCAGGATGTAGATTAAGAAAAGGGTCTTTACTGCTTTGAAACTGATTCAAACTGTGTGAATTTGCAGAGCCTTTGATCTGTGAGGAATTCGAACTGCATCTTCGAACAATAGTCGAAAACTTATTCCTCTCATCAACCATTCTTAAGGGGGAAACTATTGCTCCAAGAGAAGTCAATCCAGCAGACGATCTTCGAGTATCCAGAGGGGGTGTGAAGTAAGGGTAAGTCCATGTAGCCATTATGAAAAGTTTCACTCCTAAATTGCTTATAACTAACAAAGAAAATCCACAGTATTACAACTCTGAATTCTCTAAATGTCTTTCAATGTATGCATCAACCAAACAGAGATCTGAAAACCATGAGAACTACATGAGTAAGAAATTTAGAACATTAATTGTCGAAGAATTCACAAAACCTTGAGAACCAAAATCAAACACTCAGACTGGGAGTGCAGCAGCATATTAAAATTTAGAAAGAAAATTAAACCACGAACATCGAAAACACCAGGAGCACCGACTTGAAGCGAAGATTACTAGAAACCAACAGCATTAAAAACACAAAAGCAAATGCAATTTGACCGAAGCAATTCACTGAAAAAATCGACGAAGCTCCATCATTCTAATTTTCCAAAAATACGACGAGAGCTTCAGAATGCCCCGATTCAGCGATAATTACCTCTATTTGCTCCTAATTAACTCCTCAACTGAGCAGAATATTTGCAGAGGACCAATGGCTGCCGCCAATTTCTTACTGGAAATGCCGAGCTCAGGTGGCGCAGTGCGCTGATTCTGAATCAGTTACCATAAAGAAAAGCTTGGAAAATCGATAAACCTCCACAGTCATCACATAAATCCCAACAACCACCAGGCGTCTCAAGCAACGCGACGCAATCATGGCGGATTTCCATTCAATTTCAGCCACAGCCCAAGCAATTTCAACCACAGCCCAAGCATTCCTGTAACTTTGAGCTGCGATTTGGGAAGAATTGAGCTACTTTTGGGCTTTCAGAATCCCTATAACATGACCCGGCCCGATAGTAAATTTGGGCCTAATTCAAGTGTATGGGCCTTACTTGAATCCATTTAATTAGGATGTGTTTGTTTGGAGGATTGGATTTAATTTCCACTGTTTATCTCTTTTTTTTTTTTTTTTCAAAAATATCAAATTAAACACCTATTTTTTATTTTTTATATTATACTAAAAATCAATTTTACATTCAAAATATCACATCAGCACCTATTTATATAACATCATACAACTATTTAAATTCAAAATTTTTACTATTCAAATATCAACTCAAAATCCAAACCCCCAAACAAACACAATTAAAATTTTAAAACTGTACCATGGTCTTTTAATTTTTTTTATTTAATTTAATTTTTAAAAGATAATAAAAATATAATCTTTTTTTAAAAAAAAATATTAAAATATAGAATACAAATGGTAAAAATAATAAATAAAAAATAAAACTATAAAGAAACACATCTTAGACTGTGTTTGTTCGGGGATACTTCCCAAATTTACTATGCATCAATTTTATTTTTTAAAAAAAAATATCAAATAAACATCTATTTTTATTTTTTATATTATAATAAAAATAATTTTACATTAAAAAAAATAGTATCTAACGCCTATATCACTTTTTCAATTCAAAATTTTTACTATTTAAATTTCAACTCAAAGTCCTCGAACGGACCACCTATATGAAAATTGCTTTCTACAGTTTGATTATTTGAATAAAAGGTTAATTTTAAAATAAATAATTTAATATAAAATATTTTTTTTTTATATATAAATAAAATAAACCTATTCTTTTGTACAACCAAATACACCCTTGTATTGTAATGGCATTGTCCATGGTCTATGTTATTGTAATTACTTCAACAAACTCAAAGAGAATTATTAATCAATGACAATCATAATTATTTCATAAATTATTCGTTAAGTGTAATTAGTACTCCATCGTGCAAACAACGTGCAACATTTGCTTTTGGCACGAGTTTTTAGGTAAATAATATTAAGTAGGATAATTTAAAAATTAAATGATGTGACGGAGAGAAAAACATATATTTTATTTTTTTATTTGGATCATGCGAGGGGATAATTTGTAGGATAAAATTAAGTATAATTAATTATTTCCTATTTTGAAAATATTGCAAAGCGTTTAAGACATACCAAAAATAAAATATTGCAGGGTGTTCGGGATCAAAGGGAGTAATATATATGCAAATTTAATGTGATTAAAATAAATTTGCACAAGTTTTTAAACTACATAGGTAGCAACTAATTTTTCATTTGTGTGTTTGTTTGGGGGTTTGGATTTTGAGTTGGGATTTGAATACTAAAAATTTTGAATTTAAATAGTTGTATAATGTGATATAAATAGGTGTTGATGTAATGTTTTGAATATAGATTGATTTTTAGTATAATATAAAAAAATGAAAAATAGGTGTTTGATTTAATATTTTCTGGGGAAAAATTTTTGAATGAATAGTAGAATTTTGATAAAATTCTTCAAACGAAGACCAAATAGTTATAATAATAATAATAATAATATAGTTATTTGTATATTATTTGTATTATACTCTCTAGTCCTACTTAGATTGTCTTGTTTACATTTTTTTTCTAAAAAAATAATTAATAAATAATTTAAAAATATATTAATAAAAATCATTATTATATAATACACAAATTATATTTCTTTTGTTCCGCTACACCACAAATAGCATTTTTTTAATGATTTATTTTTATTTTTAATTAATTTATTTATCTTAAATATATTAAATAAATATAAATTAATTTAATTAAATTCACTCAAAAATTTTTATTTTTTAATATTTTTTTAATAAACAATTTTTTTAATCTATATTTAATTTTTTTTTATTTTGTATAAAGAGACTGAAACTAATTGAATAAAAAATATGAACAATTAATATGAGACAGGTGGAATATTTTATAGTAGTGTTATATTTTAACATTATTTTTTATTTAAAATATTATATTCAAATTTAATTTTTACTCCATAATTTTATGTTTGTGGTTTCTTTTATAATTTGTAATACATAATTATTAAATATTTATCTAATATAAAAAAATTATATTAGATATAATATTTTCAGAAGAAATTCGATCGATAAAATAAGTTTGCAAAATGATTGAATTTCAACTGCTTTTGTTAATATTTATACTCCACTGAAAAAATATATACGTATATATGCATATATACTCCACTAGGGGTGTGTTTGTTTGGGATATTGTATTTTAAATTCATTGTTCATTTTTTTTTTTTTTTTCTAAAAAATATTAAATCAAATACTTATTTTTTATTTTTTATTTTTTATATTATACTAAAAATCAATTTTACATTCAAAACATTACATCAACACCTATTTATATCATATCATACAACTATTCAAATTCAATTTTTTTACTATTTAAATCTCAATTCAAAATCCAAATCCCCGGACACCCGCCCTTTACTATTATTTAAAATCAATATAATAGGATTATTATTCGACAAAAAAGGAAATTACGTGGCGCCAATTGATTGGATGATGACGTCTGCACAATAAATACCCATAAAAGAAATTCACGGAATTTACGTGGGTACCCTCATCTGGGCTGCGCGTGGGTTACACGCACCTCCAAGTGCGGCTGTATTTGTATTTACCATATTGTATTGTATTTTGTCCCACGCAGCTGCTTGACCTTTTCCCACATTTCGTCCTCCCCCCGTCGAATCAGATTCCTGCCTTCACCTTTCCACCCCACAATCCTCAATTTCGTTGCTTTCACTGTGCCGGTGCAGAGTCTCGCGATTGCTGGATGTCAATTCGATGAGATTAGCTGGCTCTGATTACTGAGGTAGAGTCGCCTGTTTTGAGATTCAGAGTTTTATTGTTTTGTTTTGTTTTTTGTTTTTTGTTTTTTTTTTTTTAATTTATGTTGTTTGATGCGTGTATAGTTTGGGGAACAGGTTGGGGGGAAATACGGTGGAGACGATGAGAGGTTACGCTGGTTCGGGAAATGGAGGCGGTTTGATGCGTTGATGTAGGATTTGTGTTTGTTCGATGTTTGGATGCTGTGTTTGTTTGTGAGGAAATGGTTTCTGCTTTCCAGGATCCGTTGGATCTTGGAAATTAAGGTGGATGGTGAGAACCAATCAATCAGGTTGGATTGAAAATTGTGGTTTTGAGAGAGATTTGGTCCTGTATGTGTTTATAGCGTTTAAACTGCTAGTATGATTTGATTTGTGTTTGGAGTCAGTCAGTCAGTCAGTCAGTCGGTCGGTAGTAAATCTCCATGGCTGTTTGCTGAATTTCTGAATGGAGTGTCTTCCAGTTGAGGTTGTTGGAAACATTCTGTCGAGGCTAGGGGCTGCTCGGAATGTGGTGATTGCATCTGCAACTTGCAGGAAATGGCAAGAGGCATGGAGGAATCATCTCCATACTCTGACATTTAATTCTAATGATTGGCCTTTGTATCATGAATTCTCCACAACTAGGCTTGAGATACTCATCACCCAAACAATATTCCAAACCAAAGGATTGCAGTGCCTCTCCATAATCATGGATGATGTCGATGAGTTTTCTGCTGCCTCGGTTATTGCCTGGCTTATGTACACTAGAGAGACCTTACGCCAGCTACATTATAATGTGAGGACAACTCCTAGCATCAACATTCTTGAAAAGTGTGGTCGGCAGAGACTTGAAGTATTGACTTTATCTCACAATACTATCATTGGGGTCGAACCAAGTTACCAAAAGTTTCCCTGCTTGAGATCTCTGTCGCTAAGTTATGTGAGCATATCAGCCTTGGATCTGAGTCTCCTGCTTACTGCCTGTCCCAAGATTGAAGTACTCAGCCTAGTGAGTCTGGATATTGTCATGTCGGATCATCAGGCAACCATGGAGTTGACAACTAACTCATTAAAGGATATTTATGTGGAGGCTATTAGCTTGGATAAGTTCATACTGGAAGCTGATAGCCTGGAAAAGTTGCACCTCAAGGATTGTACACTTGAATTTTTTGAACTTATTGGAAAGGGATTGTTGAGATTCCTAAAGATTGACGATGTTAGTGTCATCCTTCTTGATATTGGAGAGAATGCAGAAAATCTTGAAATTGTTGATGTTAGTAATTTCACAATAATGTGGGCAAAGTTCTACCATATGATATCACGATCGTCAAAATTGAGAAGGCTTAGGCTTTGGGGTGTTGTTTTTGATGATGAGGATGAGATAGTTGACATGGAGACTATTTCTTCGAGCTTTCCTCTCTTAAGCCACCTATCATTGAGTTATGATCTAAGAGAGGCAACTCTTCACTATGGCTTGCAAGGTTCCTTTGTTTTAGAGAATGTCATCGTCCTGGAACTTGGGTGGACTGTAATTAGCGACTTGTTTACGATGTGGGTCTCAGGACTTCTTGAAAAGTGCCCTAGTCTCAAGAAGTTGGTCATCCATGGTGTAGTGTCAGAGACGAAAACCCCGGAAGAATGCCACATGTTGGCCAAATTCACATCATCTGTTGTAAGACTCATGAGGAAGTACATGGACGTAGAGATTCAATTCGATTATGAATAGATACAACAGAAACTGCCACAGATGTGAAGTGCAGCAGCCGGTGAATATTCCTGAAGGAAGATTCTTCATTTTTCCTGGTTTGGTACTTGCCAGATAATTTTTGAACTCAAAAGCTTTGTAGAATTTACAGCACTATCTCTTCAAAAAGTTCAGTCTTCGGTTGCATGCTGCAATATATTATTTTTTTTGCGATGATTCTCAAAGTGTCAATTACATTATTTTTGGTTTCATATTGAGGACATTTTCTTTACCATATAGTGCTTTTTTGCTTCTTTTGGTCTCTTCATTTATCGAAATTTCCTTTGTTGTATCATCGATGCCTATAAATTGTCGAGGATGATGAACTTTGTTCTATTTCCCTTGCCTCACTTAGACTGGTAGAATGTGTTCCAAAGACTTGTATAGCTTTATACACTGGACAAGGAGTTCATATCTAAAATTGACTGATTGAACCAAGAAAAATGCTTCTCTCCTTGATTCAGAGAGATGTTCTAACCTTGTGTTTAACTTGTACTCTTTTCATGAATCTGTTTACAAATGGTAAAATTTACTACCTGTTTATGTTGCATATTGTTTGTGTATCTTCTTTGAGTTGGAATAATACTAAATTGGCGATTTTGATTGTTAAATGGTTCTGTAATTTATATATCATGGACTTGTAGTCTCTACAATCTACACGCAGAAAAATGCCTTTTAACTTGCATTGTTGTTAGGACATGGAAAATTGAATATTGTTGCTAATAGTTGCCCAGAAAGTGCCCCCTGTTAGAAATTGATGAATGGCATTTTGGGGCCATTAGAAGTGAGAATTTGCAGTAGGCCCTGTGATTAGACACCAGGATTCTGGACTTATTATGATTTTACATACATTATTGCTGTTTGTTGCTGTGTAGAAAACCATGCAAGTTATTCCTGAAAATAAATTACAGGGGTGGGGTGGGGGGGTTAGGGGAGGGGGTATGCAATGCAGCCTTTATCAAGTAAGTGCCCCATCATGTATGTCTTTAATGGCTGCTAAAATAGGATGGAGCTCTGTAGGAGCAAAAAATATCAACATAAGGTAATATATATCTCATCTTGCCTAAAGTTCAAAAACCGTCAGGGCATCGATTGATCCTTCTGGTTTTCGGTTTTCCAGCTTGGTAGGAATGAGGGGCTTTCACCACACATCGATTTTCCAATGTACAGTTGCTTACTGGTTAGTAAGGGCAACTCATACTCCTCCTTATCGACTGCAATGTTTCATTCATTCTGTAAGCCTTTGTTTGCTTCTGCTTCCTTGCTCTGGCTTCTTCATACTGCAGCTGGAAAATTGCACAGAACCACAGGTTAACTCGCCATGAACAGACACTTCACGGTATAAGGGCATAAGGTATGCTAATTCATAAGAATGCACTGCCTTCCTTTTTTCATATAAACCGTTTTCACCTTACTGAATTGATTTTTTACAGAGCAGATCTATTCAAGAACGTAGCAATGGACACATATTGATCAGATTTGGAGGAATATACAAGCAATTCAGGTACCCGATGCTTTTCCATATGCGAGTTACTTTTTGTTTTTATAGATTTATCCTTTACTGAAAAATTAAAATTACCGAAATATGAATTCTTATGAAGGAATAATTTACCTGTTGCTTCCTTTTTCTCTCCAACTCAACCTGGAGAAAAGGGAATATCGAATGGGAACATTAGTTACTATATTGCCAATGGGAAAATCAGTACACAAACTCTTATCTTTTTACCAGAGTTTGTTTTAGATGTGCATTCTCCTCTCTTAGTTGGTTAAGTTCTGCTTCGAGTTCGACGGTGTAAGCCTGATAAGAAGCATTGTTAGAAAAACATCGAATTAGAAGTCCTTTTTTGTCATGATCACTGATAAGCTAATGATATATAAATACCTGTTTCCTTGCCCTAGATCTTGCAGCCGACTCCCGATTCTTGATCATTCTGCGCTGACGCCTCTCCACGACTTTCTCCACCGGACCATCTATGATCCGCTTCCTTGCTCCCGGATTCATGTCCAATCCAAACTGATTCGCGTTATCTTGGTTAGCACTCAGCCCTTCTGACGGCACCGGACTTACCGGTGACCCGATTCCCAATCCCGTGACTTGCCCGAAACCCCCTCCCACCCCACTCCCGACCCTCCCTTCATAAGTGACAACCGGCGGCGGCTGTCCATAGCCGACCCCACCTTTCATCCCTATAACACAACCCGATGCCTCTCCTACGCCATTCTGGCGAAGTGGCTGGTGGTAAGTCCCGAGGTTACTGACGCCACCGGCATTGCTGCCCATGGCAATCACGGGCCTCGGGATAACCAAGCTAGGACCGGGAACCATGGCGGGATGGCTGCTGTTTTGATACATTCCCATCGGCGGCGGCGGTGCTGGTGGAAGACCGAAATGCTGTTCCCGAACTATCCCCGCCCGGACGAGGAAATCTTCGAGAGTCATTTCTCCGAACGTGGCCTGTTTCTGGGCCACGTTAGGGTTGTTTTGGACTTGGCAGTGGCTGCCGCCGTTGTTGGTCAACTGATTCTTGTGAATCTCCGACCACACTTCGTCCACTGTTTTCCGGCAGAGGGGCTCCGGGATCGTCAGCGATCCTTGCCCCTGTAAGCTCGGCTGTTTTGCGATGATCCCCTTGTTAGGGGACGCCGCCGTATTGGGAAACTGTGCGGCGGAAACAGTAGCTATTGCGGCAGCCGTGTTTTGATTTGGGTTTTGGTTTTGGTTTTGATTTTCTTCGGCTGTCCATATACTGTTAAGGAATTCGTCCATGTTCATTGAGCCGAAATTCTTTCCGTTCTCGGAAAGAGTGTGCTGGAACTCGTCTAGCGTTAGCGAGTATATCGACGATTGTCTGCCTAGTGGTTGGAGTGTCTGACCGTTGCTAGGGTTTGGGTTCTGATTGCCGTTCCCGTTTCCATTTCCATCGTGATTATGATTCGCATTCGCCGCCTCTAGCGAATCGAACATTCTAGAATCTTGCTTAGCTGCCATTATAGTTTCTATAATCTCTCTGTAGTTCCAATCTGCAATGTCTATGCCTAGTAAATTATCAAGGCTTCCATTTTCAAAATTGACACTATTCATTTGTGTGAATTTGAGAAAAATTATATCAAATATTTATTTAGTGGATACCAGATCTTAGATCTTACAAGTGATTTTATTATTTTTGAAAATTTTCACTACTTCAAAAGTTGAATCTGAGCAAACCCTAGCTTTCCTATGAACTATAAACAGCCCATGGACCATCTCCATCCAAATCTTCATACTATAATACTATTAAAATCTATAACAAACAGTCACGTTCATCAGGAGCACCAAAATCAGTAGATAGCTTGAAAAATAAAATAAAATTAGAGTACCCTATCTCACTCTATCTAGTTTAATTGAGTTACTTACTATGCTAGATAATCAGAATTCACCAATAGTCCAGAATTAAATAAAAACAGACCTGTTTGGAATTTGTGCATTTACTCCATTTTTGTTCTGAAAAAGCTGGAAATATCAAATGTGTGAAATTGTGATGAACACACACACACACGTATGTATATATGCATATGTAATTAATTAATTGAGAAACGATGGATAGAGAAGAATTGACATAATAATAGTATCTTACCTAGAAACTGCTCGTATCGATCAATCCACTGGTAACACGCACGTATGCGTGTGTGTATGTGTGAGAGAGAGAGAGAGAGAGAGAGAGAGAGAGAGAGAGAGAGGTGTAGTTGCAGAAGGGGAGAGTGTTGGGAAAGGGTTGAAGAAGATGGTTGGGAGGGTGATGTATTCTATTCAGAAGAAGCTAAACGGTGGAAGTGGGGTCCATCGGTGGGGTCCACCCCTGGGATGGGCCCTAAATTTCAAGCTGGAATTTGTTTCAATTTTTGCATGCTCTGGACACGTGTTCGCCGTTTAGCTACCTCTGACACCCTTCGCCAACACGTGTCCTCTCGCCGCCGCTCACGTGCGGCTTCGAGATATTTATTTCTATATTTATTTGTCTTTGCTTTTTCTTTTTTTTTTAAAAAAAAAAATATTGAGTTTTTACTTTATTGCCACGAAGGATTGGGCTTTATTGAGCCCATTAATTTATATTGGGTTTTAATAATTTTGGGCCCTATATTGGGTTTTCTTTAGAAGTTTGTAATTATACGTAATTTTCTATATATATATAACTTAAAATCTAAATTGTTTTTTAAATTAAAATATACAACCAATCTCCAATTAAACAAAACCATATTTAGAATCTATATGAAGTCACATTATTTGAATCACGATGATTAGCTATTCTGCCCTTTTACATTTCAATACTAAAGTAAAATAAACTACAAGTCCTATGAATCATTATTCTATATATAAACTTTAAATCATAATAGTAATATAAAATTCAAAATACAGTGGATGAAAATTATAAAAGATTATAGTAAATAAATGTACTAACAATTTGAATAAACTATCCCTGTAGATGTTTGTTCCAAAATTTTATAGAGATTTGTACTATTCACACAATTTTCCTAAAAAAAAAAAAAAAAAAATCAAATAAAATACTTATTTTTATTTATTTTTATATATTATACTAAAAATTAACTTTACATTCAAAATATCACATCAATACTTATTTATATCACATCGTACAACTATTCCTATTCAAATCTTTTACTATTTAAAATCTCAATCCAAAATCCAAACTCCCAAAGAAACACACCCTAAAGTGTAATTTTAGTCTAAACATTAGAAATACATACAATATATTTAGAGCTGGCAAAAATTGACCCGACACGAAATAATTGGATTTTGATAAAATATTTTAACCCAATTATGTATACGAGTTGACACGAACCCGACACGATAGTAAACGGGTCGGATTAGGGTTGAGGCTCTCAACTCGAACCCGACACGACAACCCGATTATAATATATTAATATTGGTTAATATATTTATTATATATGTAAAATAATCAGAATTTAATAATTTATTCATAAAACTAAGTTGAATTATTTTTTTTAAATAATTCAACTGGCTCAAACCAATAAAAAACTAACTTAACAAGGCAACATAACAAAAAATTATTTAATTTGAATCAAGAAATTCGACTTAATTATGTATACGGGTCAACACGAGTCAACCCGAAGCCGACACGATAATAAATGGGTCAACACGAACCCGATACGAATAGACCAATTGCCAGCTCTAAATATATTAAAAAAATAATATTATCCAGTCTAATCACTCGTTCGAAACTAAACAAACTTATCATCACTATTAAAATTGTAAAACACACAGTACACAAACAAAATTAGCTAAAAAAGCACAGTATAAATACAAGAGGCAACCAATGTACATACCGGGACTGCTCTCGCGCGCGCCGACGACTGTAGGCAGCTCCGACAAGGTTCAAGATTCCGGCTACTTGGCGTGTTGGCTGGCTGGCTAGGTCACTGCATATTAGCTGAGGTAACCACTACAAATATAATTAAAACAAAAAAAAAAAAAACGACGTAGCTCAAGTTAATAAGTATAAAAAAGTTTTATGTTTTGTTACTCCTCAAAAGTCAGGGCTGTTTTGCCAACCGGGATGATGGTGAGGGAGCCGGACGTTCTTCAGCGTCATCAGTTCCTTCCTTCTCTTCCGGGCATTGGTTGCCGCGACGACATCCTCCACTTTCTTGTGGTGGCAGACGCCTCTCTCTCGATCCATCTTCGATGATGGATCATTGGTGCCATCCCCCGCGGAATTTCTGCCAGGTCTGAGATTGAGATCTAGGGCAGTACCAAGACGACGACTTCGATGATGATGGGCTTTGCCGTACTGATCGCCACTCCCGGCTGAGACAGCTTTTGTCGAATTAGATGTGTCCGCGGCTGTGTTTCGGGAGGATGATGACTGGTAAGATAGAGCTACACTGCATTGATGAGTCGACTGGTTTTTGCTCGGTGGTGTCCGGTTGGTATCAGAGCAGGAGTGAAGTGTACTCCCATGGCCGAGACAGGGAAGCAGGCAAGGTACTGGTAGGACAAACATCGGGCTACCCGATCCAGTCGTGGCCGAGAAAATTCTTTGTCCGTCTTGAATAGATGGTGCGTCGCTATATGGAAACGGGAAAACATTTGAAGATGGAACAACCGAGGGCAAGAGGAAGGGAACGAAAACCGGGTGGTGGTTATACGGAAGGAATGGGGCGCTCATAGTGGCGGAGCTAACTCTTTCTCCGCAAGTCGACTTTGGCTCTTCTTGCGCTTCTTTTGGCTCGGGTTTTTTCAATTTAGACAGCTGCATAACCACATTGCGATTACAAGCAATTAGAATAAATTCTTTCGGCTGGAGGTAATTGTCAAAGTAGAAGTTTTTACCTCAATTTTGAGATCTGCATTTCTATCTTTCAAAGACTTGTACTCCTTCATCGCCAATTCCTTTTCCTGCAGATTTTTTCGACCCAAAAAACAAAAAGCATAGCTTGAGTACAAAGGTATAAGAACTTTGGCGAGCAATCTTACCTTAGAAACATTAGAACCGTCGTCTTACCTTCTTCAGACTTTCATTCTCCTGAGTGAGATCAGCTGCTTTCTTGGTAAACTCTAAGTATGTTGCCTGATTCGAAACAAGGTATAACCAAATATGCTAAGGGTGTGTTTGTTTGGGGGGTTGGATTCTGTGTCGGGATTTGAATAGTAAAAATTTTGAATTAGAATAATTGTATGATGCGATATAAATAGATGTTGATTAGATGTTTTCGGGAAAAAAAATTTAATGGATAGTAGAAATTTGGAGAAATTGTTCAAACGAACACCCTAAAAAAAAAATGGTTAATTGATCACCCAAAGCAGATGAGGAATATGCAGATTACCTGTCTGCGACGAATAGTTTGCCGGGCAGATTCTCTATTTGCTAAGACACGACGAATCCTTCGCGCTTCCTTCTCGGCCTATATGACAGAGCGGCAGAGAGCGCTAAACCACAAGTAATCTGACAATTAAAAAAGATAACTAAGCTTGTGTACCTTCGTCAAACCTGGTCTCGATTTGCAGGTAGAGTTTGATGGATAACTTGTACTGCACGGCTGACTGGGTACAATACTAACAGTTTCATTAGTTTCTAAAACACCTGTAACCACAGTAGATGTATTTCCACAAAACTGTTGGACAGCTATGGCTTGATCCTGATGTAAACAAAACATTTTTCAAGCCACTGCAAACAGTATAACATAACTCGACAACAAAAAAATGCATCCTAACATTTCTCTAAAGGAAGCCTTATCACAGTTAAGTCCTTAAACAATTTCAAAAGCAATAAATGATAAGCTAAGCAGGAGCCAAATTACAAAACAAAGCATGATGGTTCCCAAATTACTCAAATACACAAGACATTCGTATGCTATGAAATTGAATCGCAATCTTTATACCATTAAGAACAGTAGTAACAACTCCAAGGATTAATCACAATTTCTTTGGATCACAGTCAACTCTCTGAATCGATCTTTATCAAGATTTAATAAGCTTAATCCCATTATCCCTACAAAATCGAAAGTCCAAAGGCCCAAACCTTTATAAAGCATGATGGTTTCCAAATTACTCGAATACACTAGAAGTTCATATCCCATCAAGAACAATAGTAACAACTCCAAGGATTAATCACAATTTCTTTCGATCACAATCCGAATCAATCTTCATCAAAATTTAGTAAGCTTAATCCCATTACCCCTACAAAATCGAAACTCCAAAGGCCCAAACCTTTAAAAAGCATGATGGTTTCCAAATTACTCAAATACACTAGAAATTCATATCCTATTAAGAACAATAGTAGCAAGTTCTAGGATTAATCACAATTTCTTTCCATCACAATCAACTCTCTAAATCGATCTTTATCAAAAGCTTAATCCCATTACCCCTACAAAATCGAAACTTCAAAGACCCAAACCTTTATAAAGCATGATGGTTTCCAAATTACTCGAATACTCTAGAAATTCAAATCCCATTAAGAACAATAGTAACAACTCCAAGGATTAATCACAATTTCTTTCCATCACAATCAACTCTCCAAATCGATGTTTATCAAAATTTAATAAGCTTAATCCCATTAACCCTACAAAATCGAAACTCCAAAGGCCCAAACCTTTAAGAGCATGATGGTTTCCAAATTACTCGAATACACTAGAAATTCATATCCCAGTAAGAACGATAGTAACAAGTCCAAGGATTAATCACAATGTCTTTTGATCACAATCAACTCTCCGAAATGATATTTATCAAATTTAATAAGCTTAATCCCATTACCACTACAAAATCGAAAGTCCAAGGGCCGAAACCTTTATAAAGCATGAGGGTTCCCAAATTACTCGAATGCACTAGAAATTCATATCCCATTAAGAACAATAGTAACAAGTCCAAGGGATTAATCACAACTTCTTTCGATCACAATCAACTCTCCGAATCCATCTTTATCAAATTTTAATAAGCTTAATTCATTACCGCTATGAATTCGGAAGTCCAAGGGCCCAAGAAATAAGGAACACAACCTTTATTAAGCATGATGGTTCCCAAATTACTCGAATACACCAGAAATTCATATGCCATTAAGAACAATAGCAAAAACTCCAAGGATTAATCACAATTTCTCTCGATCACAGTCAACTCTTCGAATCGATCTTTATCAAAATTTAATAAGCTTAATTCCATTACCACTACAAAATCGGAAATCCAGAGGCTCAAGAAATAAGGAACACAATCTTTCCAAATTCCAATCACCATTGCCAATCCAGTACTTGAAGATCTTCCTATTTTCTTGTTATCCACACAGTGTAAAATATGCACTCACTCAGTTCATAACCAGAAAAGGGAAAAGGGAAAAGGGAAGAATGAGAAAAATAAAGAGAAAAGACATATTCCTTTTCCACTAACAGAAACCTTATTCTTTTCCCTATTCTTATCGAATTTTGTTTAATCTCCCCTTCAATGGACTCTTTTTGACTCCACACTGTAAACATAATGGCCCTCAGGCAATCAGTTCACCCTTAAAGGGCATATCTATCGCAACAATGGCGAAAGTACTCAACACTGGTGAATGCAAATTCATATTAGAGAAGAAGATCTCCACAAAATGATAAAAATCAAAACACAAACCGAGTAACTGATTCCACGTGAATGTGATCGAAACTTTTGAAATTAACTAACAGTAGCTTCCCCAAACTTCTACCAAATGCAAAGTGATGTTGTTCTAAAAATAGAAAAAGCAAATCGCAAAACGCAAAACGCGAACAAGATTTTTGCCAATTTTGAGCCAACAGCGACGTGGTTGAAGAGAGAGCATAAGAAAAGAGATAAAACAGTCGGAAATGAATTCAAACCTGAGATCGATAAGCGGCGGAAGTCGACCTCGATTCTCCTCCAACCACGGCGGCCAGTCCGGCGAGGGTTTCCGCCGCCTCAAAATCAGAGCCTACCATCCGAGCATCGTTGTCGGCGTCAGAAACGGGTTTAGATTCCATGGAGTAGCAAAACAATCCGTCGTCGGATGATTATTCGATCGGAAACAAATAAAATTGAACAAAAATGGAACCCCCTGTACCCCCACCCGCCCTCCTTATCTCGCCCGCGTTTCGCTTTCTAGGATTTATGTTAATGCCCAAATCAGGAGTGTTTGTTTGGGATTCTCCCCAAACATATTTTTTTTTTTTTTTTTAAGAAAAATATCAAATCAAACATTTTTTAATATTATATTAAAAATTAATTTTACCGTTCAAATACATTATATCAATATCTATTTATATTATATCATACAACTATTAAATTTAAATATTTTAATATTTAAGTTCCAACTCAAAATCCACCTATCCCGACAAACCCAAGGAAAACACAAAAAAATTTAGAATGGAATAGAATAGAATAGATGCAGAGAGGCGGGCAGGGCAGGGCAGGCAATGAGGCATGGGGAGGGTGTGCAGAAGATTACACGTCTAGTGCCAGATCAGTGTCGTTAATGGCGTCCGTTCCTGCCACGTCGCATCTCTTCAGCAAGCCAAAAGCAGCCTGCTGCCGCTCCCTCTGCTTCCTCACTCGCTAATCCTGTGTTTGTGCTTGTTTTAGGGAAATTACTACTCTATCCGCTTTTATATAATTTGTATTTTTATGTGTTTCATATAATTTTCTTTAAAAAAAAAACAAAAAAAAAATAAAAAATTGAATATACATTTTAATTATATTTAAATTTTAAATTTTTTAAAATTTTAATTTATAATTATTTTTATTAAATAATATTCTCTCCGTCCCAGGTTGAATATTGGATATTTAGGTCATCATAGACACTATAAATATAATTAGTAAATAATTATAAATTTATTAGTGAAAATAATTATTCTATAATTATAAATTAAGGTTAAGATAACTAATTAATTTAACTAAAATTTTAAAAAAAATAAAATGAGATTAAAGTGTATAATCATTTTAAAAAAAAAAAAAAAAAAGTAACATGAATGTGGGATGGACAGAAACGACAATGTGGACATGGTAGGCGGGACGAATGGAGTAATTATTTTTTACTGATACATTAATTATATTTTATCTAAATTCTCGTATCCATAGTAACACTTTCATCTTATGTAGGAGGGAGGAAGTTTTTTTTTTTTTTGGTGTTTGCTTCCTTTCTAAAAAGTTTTATAACTTATTAAAATTTTTCTTTAACACATTATTGTTTAGGAAAATAATAATAATAATAATAGAATATATATTTATTATTTTTATACTATTTATACAATTCTCTATTATTTATATAATTTTTTTTTTCAAATCAAAATATAAAAATACTATTTATACAATTCTCTATTATTTATATAATTCTTTTTTTTTCTCAAAACAAAACACAACAAATGTACAAAGAGAAATTTATATGACTTTTAATTAAAATATATATATATTATTTCTATCCGTTTAAAAAATATATATTTATTTTTTTCCATAATTTAAAAATTAATAATATTTAAATTATAATATATATAGTTAAAAGTATTGTAAAAATAATAATGTGACAGTAAAATAAGATTTTTTTGTGAAAAAAAAAGTAAGATATTTTTTAAAAAATAGATTTATTGTAACTGTATAATTCAAAATATAAATATAATATATAATTTTTTTTTTATGAGATTAAAATTTTAGTTTAAGATTTATATGTGACAATATTTATTGCATTTAAATTTGAAATCTTATCTCTTCTGGACACGAGTTTAAGAAAACTTGTATTTAGATAGTTAATTAATTTGATTATTTTATATAATATTTATAATACGTTTTTATTTTAATAAAAATTAAAATAATTTATTTTTTGCTTTTTTATAATAAATATTTTATATTTTTAAATTAATTTCGAAAAAACATTTGTTGTATTAATTGTAGAACTGTAATATGTAACAAAAAAAAATGTTAAACTAGTTTTAATAATTCAAACATAATTAAATAATAAGTGTGACCATAAAATTTTTAATTTGAATAATATCTTACATAACATTCTTCGAAAAATAAATACAAAAATTAAAACATAAATTGAATTTAGTTATATATAGTAATAAATGTGATAGGAAGAGCTTATGAATTTATTCACTCTTACAAAATACTAATCACAGTTTCTAATGATATTATCTCTGTAAAATTTAATCTTTTCCTTTTTTAAAAAAATATATAAAAGAATTGAGCTAAATTAATCGAACATATTATTTTTCTCTTACAAAAAATATTTACAAAATAATAAAATTAAATATTTTAATTTTATTTTAACAATTCTAAATAACTAACAATAAAAACACAAAAAATTTTAAACATTAAAAGCAGCTTAACATTTTTTTTAAATTTATTTGTTATTTTTAAAAGAAATAAAATATAAATCCATATTTAATTATTTACTAATTTACTTATTTAAAATATTATATCAAACAATCTAACACTTTTTTCTAAAGATATTTTAATATTAATATTATCTAAAAAATACAATTGGGTGTGTTTACTTGTAAGTTTTTTAACATAGTTTTACTATTCTTAATTTTTTTTCCCAAAAATATTAAATCAAATATTTATTTTTAATTTATTATATTATACTAAAATTTATTATATACTTCCTCCGTCCCACCTCTCATGTCCACATTTTCATTTCTGTAGGTACCACTTATTTTGTAACTTTATTTTTTAAAAAAGAATTATACACTTTAATCTTATTTTAAAAAAATTAATTTATATTTCTTTTAATTTTAATTATTATAATCAGTTATCTTAATCTAAAATTATTTTTATTGTACGATAATTGTTTTTACTAATACATTTTTAATTATTTACTAACTATACAATTCCTAAATTCTCGTGTCTACGGTAAAACGGATAAAATATCCGGGATAAAATGAAGTAGTTTATAAACTGACAGGTGACGGAAGCGTCGGGTTTAAACTATAGTTTACGGGACTATATTAAATTTTATATTGCAGATGGTATACCGTAGAAAAATTTTAATTTAATATTTTACCATTCCAATACCATATTAATAATTTAGTATACCAAAATTACAATCAAATTTCACTTTAAACCGATTATCCAATCATATAATACCAAGTCAAACATTAAATTTTTTTATACTATGTTCGAAAACTAATGTAAGATTCTAAATATTACAAAAATATCTATTGATAATTTTGATTTTTATTATTCAAAATTTTAATCCAACTTTCAAATTTACAATTAAACATATAATAAATTTAAAAATATTAATAATTTAATTTATTATAATTAAATTTTTAGTTTTAATTATTATTAGTATTAAAAATGGACTAAGACTGCTAAAAAATAAAAATAGATTAATATGGTTACCGGTGAGCAATTCATTTGGTAAAAGTAGGTAGATTAATTAATATTTTTATTTAGTTTATATTGTTAATTATTACTTCATTTGTTGTTTAATTGAGTGCTGATGTGATCGGACATAAATTTTTAAAAATTATGTAAAATTATAAATTTTTACAAAAAAAAAAAGTAAAAAAAAATAAAATTTTTTTTAGATGATGTGAAAAAGGTGATTTTTATTGTTATTAAAAAAAATAAAATTAAATGACAATTAAGAAAAAAGTAATAATATATTTGAATGACGAAAATAATACTATTAAAAAAAGTGAACTAATTTGATATAATAATTAAAAATAGAAAAATAGATCAATTTCGTAGGACGAAAAAATATAAATTTTAAAATAATTTTATAAATATATTAACCTAATTTAATTTGTTACCCGAAAAAACAAAATTAAAAATTTTAAAACAAAATTAAAATAGAACAAACGGCCAGCTCTGTGCAATTTAAAAAGCAGGACCGTTCTCACGCCGGATTAAAATCGGGCCGTGTCTGACTAGCCCATAACTGTCAGGTCGGGTCGGGTCGACACGATAGGTCCGATTTGACATCCCTAAACACCACCCAAGCAATCTCGAAGATTTCTTCGTCTTCCTCCGTCATTCCCCACACAGCGTCGCCAATGGCGTCGATACCACACAACAGAGATTCTGACCATCTCGTGACTCTAGTAATATGTAGCCAGTCCTACTCTAACGCTTCGGGATTGAACCAAGAGCCCCGCGACTCCAATGTGATTGCGGTTTCTACGGCCGAGATCGGTACATGGGACTTGCCGTCACTGATTTCTCGGAGCGCACTCAAAGTCGAAGTCGATCCCCAAAGGCAATTCCATTTCTCAAATTTTGATGGTTAACCTAATTAGGGTTCAGTTCGCTAGTTTGTTTTTGTTTTGTTTTGTTTTTTGTTTTTTGTTTTTTTTTTTTTCATTGAAGAAATTCCACGCGGCTGTGTGAATTCGCAGGCTTGTCGAACAGTCTTCCTATTTTCGGGGACTTCTCGGTGGCAGCTTCAGGTAAACGATTCGTTTCATGATTTTAAGTTCTTGTCTGTAAGTAGATATCTATCGGCTATCGCATCGTTTGATTGAATTGGTTTTGTATTGTTTCAGTGAAGCTCGGAACAGTTCTGTATCGATACAATGGGAAGTGGAATCATTCGTGACTGTTTTAAGGGTAATATTTGGGCTCGAAATTGAGATCACCGTAGACAGTTATATTCCTTTGAATGAGGTGAAGTTTTGTTCTGTTTGAACCTCTGCAGATTTTGTCGATTCAGTTGATAGATACATATAATGTCCCCTTCATTTCATAGCATGGGGGATTTTCTGAGGAATGTTCCATTTTATACTAGGCAGCTTTATTTTTCGGGGTCGATTCGCTTCTCTTGAAATGTCAAGATTGGTTGGTCAAAGTGACTTCATCCCAAGGGGAGCATCAGGAGCTGGGGTTCGGCAATGACTTAGTTTGTATATGGAAGTATGGTGTGGATTCTTGTAAGTTTTTCAGTTCTGTCTAATTGGCCAAGTCTAAAGCTTTCTAATTTATATTAGAAAATATGAGCTTATTTTTGTTTTGATCAACGATTATGGAACTGGATCATTGCAGCAACTGAATTTATCTTAAAGCTTTGCACAGGTTATCTGGCGAAGAACTTTGTAAGTATTTCATCCATGTTTTGGTGTTCCCCTTCGACATAACTACAGCTATGGTTTCTTGATCATGGATGTTGGAATGAGTTTAGGTTATACTTATGGTTGTGGCGTTTATTATTTTTTTTCCAGATGTGGGCATTGCGTTCAAACTCATTCAAAGATGTACCGGAAAAGCTACTCTGCGCCTGTATCGAGCATCCTGACTTGACTGTAGAAAGGTTAATGGTTTAGTCTTTTGTTGTTATTAGGGTGAACAATCATTCTGATACCATTCTTGATTCATTCAGTGAGAAGCAGTTATGTGATGCAATTCTGTCTTGGATAACCACAAATACTGCAAAACCGGAGGGAGTGAGTAGACACTATCTATGTGACAAGGTATGTGTGGGCATGGGTACTTGTTTAGCTTGCAACTGTTTCAATTTACATAAAGAAAATTGGTTGAACAGAGCTTCAATTACTTAGGTATATTCGTTATTCTTCATTTATGGAGGCTATTCTTAAGATAACTTTATGCTATTTTTCAACCATGGTGTTTCGTTTGGATGTGCTAATATGATTTTAAACTCAAAGGGTGTGTTTGTTTTTGGGTTTCAGTTTTTTGGTTTGGATTTTTAAATAGTAAAAAGTTGAATTTGAACAATTGTTTGATGTGATATAAACAGAGGTTGATGTGATGTTTTGAATGTAAAATAAATTTGTAGTATAATATAAAAAAAGAAAAGTAATTGTTTGATGTGATATTTTAGGAGGGAAAAAAGAATTTGAATAGTAAAAATCTATGGTAAATGTTGGTGTATGAAGGTGAAAGAGGAAGAAAGAAAAGAATGTCAAGGGTCTATCCCATTGAGTAATATAATGTGCTCCCATTTATGATTAAAAGAATTAATTTGTTGGATTGGGCTCAATTGTGAATGGGCCTAGCATTGGCATAGTCAATTGGGTCATGTTAATTATGAATCAATTCGTCGATTAATTAACCTGAACTACATTCCAAAATTCGAATTAAATAAACATAAATGTGAAATTTGTGTTGAAGCAAAACAAACTCGATCGTCTTTCCAAACTATTCATCGTGAAACTGAACCACTCGAGTTGATTCACAGTGATGTATGCGATTTGAAAATTGTACAACCGCGTGGTGGTAATAAATATTTTATTAGATTTATTGACGATTGTAGAAAATACTGTTATGTTTACTTGCTTAAGAGCAAAGTCGAGACATTAAGTAAATTCGTTTTGTACAAAAATGAAGTGGAAAACCAACTTAAGAAACGGATTAAACGAATTCGAAGTGAGAGGTGGAGAATATGAAACTCCGATTGGTGATTTTTGTGCACAAAATGGAATAATTCACGAAGTAACTCCACCTTACTCACCTCAATCAAACGGCGTTACTGAACGCAAAAATCGCATATTAAAAGAAATGATAAATGCGATGTTGTTAAGTTGTGGACTACCCTAAACTATGTGGGGGAGGCAATTTTAATCAGTAATTATTTGCTTAACTTAATACCTCGGAAAAAGATGGAGAAGACCCCTTATGAGCTTTGGAAAGGTCGAAAACTATTATAGAAACACCTTCGAGTGTAGGGGTGTCTAGCTAAGGTAGTGGTGCCACCTCCCAAACGTGTGAGAATTGGTCCCAAGACAGTGGACTGCATTTTCATAGGATATGCACATAACAATACTGCCTACCGATTCTTGGTATTCGATTCGAAATTTAGGATATCCCAAAGAATACGATAATGGAACCAAAGAATGCATCATTCTTTGAAAATGTATTCCCTGCAAAGGCAAGCGCAGAACCTAGTTCGGCCAACCGAGAACACCAAACTGTGAACCAAGATCGAATGGAAATGTATGAATTTGAATCTGAACCCGGTCAGGAACCTGAGTTCAACATGAGTTGAAAAGTCGTTTGGAAATGAATATTTTACTTATCTCCTTGAAAACGAGCTTCAAACATATGCTGAGGCTATGAGGTCTGCTGAAACCTCTTGTGAAATTGATTATATTATTCAAAATCACACTTGGGAACTTGTAGATCTCTCATATGGTTCGAAACCTCTTGGATGAAAGTGGATATTCAAGAGAAAATTAAAACCAGACGGTACAATAGACAAATATAAGGCTAGACTTGTAATCAAAGGTTACAGACAATGAGAAGGCCTATATTACCTTGACACATATTCTCCTGTCACGAGAATAACATCCATGATCCTTGCGTTAGCTGCTTTGCGAAATCTTGAGGTACATCAAATGGATGTGAAAATGACAATTTGAAATAGAGATCTTGATGATCTCAATGGAACAACCGGAAGGCTTTGCAATTCCAGGAACGGAAAAGGAAGTCTGTAGACTTGTGAAGTCACTGTATCGACTTAAACAAGCTCCAAAGAAATGGCATGAGAAATTTGATCATACCATGATGAAAAGTGGTTTCAGAAATTTTGAGTCAAACTCATTATGTACACAAAATTCTCGAAAAATTCAGTAAGGATGATACAAGAATAGCGAGAATTCCACTGGATCCATTTATCCAAGAGTCGTGGAGAGAGTGTATATTCCAAATTGAATACGCTCGGATAATTGGAAGCTTGATGTACTTGATGAGTTGTACTAGACCCAATATAGCTTATGCTATAAGCAAGCTGAGTACGTATACGAGTAATCCTAGTCGCGAGCATTAGAAAGTCATAGTTCGCGTACTTAAGTACTTACGTTACACTCGAGATTACGGGCTGCACTAAAGTTGACATCCAGCTGTAGTAGAAGGTTACTCAGACGCAAAGTGGATATCTGATACTCTCAATTCGAGATCAACTAGTGGATATGTGTTTACACTAACGGGTGCAACAATTCTCTTGAAAATCCTCAAAACAAACAATTATTGTCAAATCCACAATGGAATTTGAGTTTATTGCATTAGATAAAGTTGGAGAAGAGGCGGAATGGATTCGCCACTTTCTTGAGGAGATTCCAGAGTGGGACAAACCTGTCTCTGCCATTACCTTTTAGTGCGATAGTAAATTTGCTATTCGCAGAGCAGAGAGTACAATGTACAAGAGTTGTGACATTCGCCGTCGACATAATTCCATAAGGCAACTAATCACAACTAAGGTTATTTCGATAAACCATGTTGCGTCAAAAGATAACCTAGCGGATCCGCTAACCAAAAGGTTAAATCGTGATGCAGTGTACAAATTGACTACAAGAGTGGGGGTTAAGCCTGTCGTAATATAAATCTTTTTATAAAGGAAAACCCAACCTAGAAATATTGGAGATCCCAAGATAAATCTTATAAAGGAAAACCCAACCTAGAAATATTGGAGATTCCAAGAACTAAGGTCAACGGGACAACCTACTTATAAGACTTATGTGTGTCACTGTGGGTGCTAAAAGCCTTAACCAATTCCTGTCAATGAACGATAACAGAACAAGAAGGATAACAAAGAATTGCTTTAATGATCACTAAATAAGTGTTGTATCATTCGAAAACTTAGAGAGATCATCTATGTGAGAGAGAAGTGGAGCCGTTTCAAAGGAAATCTGTTAAGGCTCAGTTCTTTAGAAACTCTAACAGAACTAGGTCGGGTTCCATGGCCAAAACGGACCAAAATATGAGAACCGAACTAAGAACGTGAATTTTGTATCAATATGTAGCTCAAATACTAGGAAACTGTAAAGTTTAAGGATAAAGAGTCTACTGGACAGTTGGTAAAAGACTATATGTTGTACAAAGGAAAGTTTAAAAAAAAACCTACTTATCTTATACATAATTTATTTCTTTGACAAGTCATCGTCCTTTCCTCTTTTATGTGGGGGATTGTTGGTGTGTGAAGATGAAAGATGAAGAAGAAGAATGTGAAAGTTCTATATACATTGGAAAAACAAAAACGACTCCACCCTCCATAAATATAATGTGCTCCCATTTATAATTAAAAGAATTAATTTGTTGGAGTGAGCTCAATTGTGAATGGGCTTAGCATTGGCATGAGCCATTGGATATATATATAGTCAAGATTGGGCCTTGGAGCCGCGGGCTCATGGGCCAGGCTCAATTGCGATAAAATTAATTCAAATTTTGTATTTTATCTGATTAATTTATTTTGACCGTTGAAATTCAAATTACTCGGATAGAAAAAAGTTGTTGCAACATAATACAATGTGTGTTAAATAGTGGGGGGTGGTTGTTACTTTTCTGGCACCTTAATTTAATCTTCTTACTTACGTTATCGGTTCGTGGAGGGATCATGAATCATTAATTGATTCGTTTTATCCTGGGAAGCAACCGGTGGCGGGCCGAATTTGCTTCTAGGAGATCGCGTGCAACGCGAAACTCGAATCTGTTCTTAATTAGGTCTGTTGTCTGATTTTGATTTACGCATCTCGATTTTCAATAATATTTTTGCCTATAAGTAAAATCCACAGAAGTACACAGGCAAAATGTTTAACAATTTGGTATGGGTATTTGAACATCATAATAGTGCAAATATTTCTAATATTATTTGTGCCTTAGTTATCACCAATAACTGATTGCTGTATTTATTATTACGTTTTTGGTACTTTGAGAAGTTGGAGTTGGGATGGTCACCTGTAATTAGTTAATCAAAATCAAAATGCAATAGCACTTAAGGATTGCTCTCCCCGTCCATGGAGTTTAGCTGAATATGATGTGTAAGCTACTGCCTATATTGTTGCAAAATCATATTACATGGAAGGTCCCTTTTTTCTGGTCGGAACAAATTATCACATGCTCATTTTCTTTTTAAACTAATTTATATAAACCGATAGTACCGTTCATCAGTAATTCAGAATTTTGCATAGAGAGGAAATGGGTGATAAATGGTAGTCTGGTAGAAGCTTATTACTTCTTTCATCTTTGACTGCAAACCTGTTCATCTTTGACTGCGAATCAGTTCATCTTTATACACTTGCTTCATATTCATGTTTTGCAGATCCGTACAAGCCTTTTGCCTTTGTGGTTTGCTGCTGGTATGCTTTCTTGCGTAAGAAGATTAAAAGCTTTAATATATAAAAAACTATATATAATCCCTCAGTATTATATCAGTACTATTTTGTTATAGGAAAACACTCGTGCCCTTTATTATCAACATTAAGTGTCAAAGCAACTGAGAACATTCTGAGTCTAGCTAGAGTTCCTGGTACAAGTTCGTCAGCCATCTTAAGACAAGATGATTTGGGTCAGCTTGAAAACCGGTTTACAAAATTTACACAGGTTTCTAACTTTTCAACTCCTATCTGGCATACTCTTTTCAAGAAAATGTTAAGACTAGTTTCTTTGGCATTTTTCTTTTCTATTGGATTTGTTTTTAATTTTTATTTTCTGTTATCATTTGATCGATCTGATAATATTAAACTAGTTGGCATAATCAGTGCTACTTGGGGTGAAAAGTGCTTGTTAGGGAGCGGAGGATTATACTCTTACACAGACCAAATGTAAAATTGAGTTAATTAAATCTCCTCTTTTCTCATATCTTCCATCAACATAAAATGCTTCTTTGCTGAAGGATTTGATAAGCACTATGAACCAAACCAAATATGCTATCTCCGTATTTCGCTTTTTCTGTTATGGAAAGTTAACCCCCTTTAATTAAAATAAAGAATTGATTTTTTTTTTCTTAAATTACAAATTATTTCCAACGTTCAACACCGTGAGTTCACAACTTACCATCTCATTGCATGTCATTGTTTAATTCACCAGAACAATTTACTTAGTTCATGGTGACTGTATGGGTGTCTTATATTGTTGTTGTCGATGGTGGATGATGTTTTAAAAAAACATTTTTATAGCATATTATGAACTTGCACTATCTTTTTCTAACATTTGATGGTGGTATAAGCAGTGATATGATCATATGAAAATATGCATTATTTTATTATTTTATTTTTGTCATCGCCTTTACAGGTTACAATCCCCATTTGCTCTGCTTGGCACTTTTTCTTTCTAAACTCTGCAATCAATTTATGTTCTCGTGTTTCTAAAACTTTAAAGATGATGTCGTGTTGAATGTATTGACTTGTTCAATGAAGCAAACATTAATTCGAATGTAAGTAAGTCTCTTAGCAATTTATATTCATGAATTCCAACTTTGTATTAGTTTAATTGAAATTGATCTCACTTCTTGAAAAATGATCTTTATAGATACACAACCACACATATTCAGTTTCAGATTTTGTGCAGCCTTTACTAAATATCTCTCATTTGCACAGAAAGTGGACATCTCCGGCTGCCCACAGATGACCCCCTTGGTATTCCTCATTTCTTTGCTTTCGTCACTGCCTGAACCGAAGCTGAAAACGAAGATTATTAATCGGCATTTCTCTAGCTATGAGAGTAGTGTGTTGGACCAATGTATGATCTCAAAGGCACTCCATCTAGGTTTGACATTTGAAGCAGTGGAGGAGTTGGATATTTCAAACTGCCCGTCTCTCTCACTAGAGTCAGTAATTTATATTCTCAGAAAGTCCTTTCCATTATTACGTACATTAAGGGCAGCCTTTTCCTTAAACTTCATGACCAAAATGTTGTGCCAAATGCTTGAGAAATTCCCTCTACTGAACATTGTTGACTTGACCCTGGATATTAGCCCTGTTATACCTGGAAAAGTATCTGTCTTATCTTCTTCATCAGTTCCGAGACAACAACAAAGATCAATACCATCATCTGACAGCACCTCTATTTTCCTGTTTACTATTCCACTGCGATGGGTATCCATGCCAGTGGAGTCAAATGTCACAAAACTCATTTTGGCAGGGAGAACTGACATCAGGGGTATGTTCCTCTTTTTATCACAGTATCGCACCCACCATCAGCTACCTTTCCAGGCTACATGTGTTAATGAATCACTATTTTCTCTGAACGTGAGAACCCAGTTTTCAGTTTTTATTTTTCATTTTTTATTATTATAATTTTTTTTTCACTAAAGCTAAGACGTGATAAATCACTATTGCCTCTTTTAACTTCTTTTTCTTGCTTTTTCAACATTAGTAAAAAAATTTCCCGTGTAAGAAAACTATCAAATTGGATAGAGTGAGTGATTATAGGAGAATTATTAGAAGTCCTTTGCCTTTTCAATCTTGGTGGTTCCTGTTTCAAATTTCTAGCAGGATAGCACGGAGCATTTCTCTAGATGTGTGTCATACATAGCTGGCTTGATAATTTTGATAGCCGGTGCCTAAGTTAATGTTGTTATCCTTCGTAGACTGATATTGTTGAAAATTAAATGATTGAAGATATACAACAAATAATGTGGTTGGTACTTATGTTGTACTCTTATTATGTGTGTGTTTATTTACTTGATAAACTTCTCAACATGAAATTGGCATTTCAATGTATTGTAGATTCTGAACTTCTTAGGATCGCTGATTCCTGCGCTTCCCTGAGTTATATTGATATCAGAGGGTGTACATCTGTCACGGACAATGCTATATCAACTATGATCCTAAAATGCAAAATGTTACATTCAGTTTTGGCGTGCCATACGTCATTTGGGAACAGTTCTATTGAAGTGCTTTCGGGTATTCCAAGTGAGACACAGCGAAGTCTATCACCAAGAAACCAACTTCAAACCCTGCATGTTGGTGGTTGCCATGGTACTTTGTTTGCATCTTCCTTTCGACTATCTTAATTTAATTCAACACGCATATGCTACGTCCTTCCAATATATCTTCTCTATTAGATGAAAACTGTTCGAATTGTTGTGCTACAGTATGAGTTCATCCTGTTAATATTATGATGCACATATACTTACTTTAAATCAATGATGTATTAAAAATTTCTCAGCACTAGTCCAACTTCTCTCTTGCAAGGTGTAAATGGAAAAAACCTGTCAGTGCTTATGCCTGGAGTGTGCCAATTAATAAGTTTTTGCGTCAGAGATATTCGATATGTTGACGATGCTCTTTATATGTTTTCTGGGACGTCCTTGGAGGTTCTTGATATTTCTGACACTGAGGTGTGTATTATGCCTTAAAACCTCACACCTTTTTCTTATAAGAAAAATTTCTGCACATTGCTCGTATTATTTGATGTAAGTGTTTCATAGTATTCATAATATTGACTATATATATATATTTGGTTTACCAAGCCTGAGAATAACACTGGCGCACTGAAATGTTGTGGTTCCAAATATTCAGGTTTCTGGTGCTGCTTTATCTCATATTATCTGTAGAAATCCTCACCTAAAATCTCTTAAAGCCAGAGGCTGCAGACATCTATTGCCACAGGAAGTTGATGCTCATGAAACAAAAACCTGCATGTTATCTGATACTATTGAAGAATGGTACTCTGTCCTAGGCAGGTCCTGCAAATTGGAGGAAATTGAACTTGGTTGGGGAATCACTTATTTCTCTCTCAGAGCCCTCGAACCCGCACTCAGAACGCTGAGAACCTTAGTTGTTGGAGTAGGTGGATCATTAGGAGAGGATGGATTGAAGCTGTTACCCTCTTGTTGTCAAATGCTCGAGACTTTGGTTCTTTATTTTCAGGTGATGCTGCTCTGTTATTTTGTCCCGTTGATTTTATTTCCATTATTCATCAGTGGCTAATTTTGGATGATTTTAACACTACTGAGTAGCAAGAGGATATTTTCACTAAGATTGTCTCATTTCTGCTTAATTTACTTCAATCACAAATGGTTATTTCGAACATTTGCTTTATCTCAAGAACACATTCAGACGGCATCTAGTCATATTTGTATGTTTGTTTCTCTATTATGCTTGTGGTTTCTTTGTAATAAGTGCCCTCATGTAACATCTTTACTTATGTCAACAGGTTATATCTGATTCTACTCTTACGAGCATTCTAAGTTCCTTGCCACATTTGCGAAATCTTGCTCTGTGCTATTGCCTTGGGGACATATCCTCATTAAGCTTCAAGTTGAGGATGCCAACTTTAAGGATATTGAAACTCGAAAGAGTAGCACCATGGATGACTAATGAAGAGTTGGCTACTCTGGCCGGGAATTGTCTCAATTTGGTAGAACTCTCATTAATTGGATGCACATTGCTAGACTCTGGTAAGTATCTAGAAGAATTCGGATTTACCTTGAATCCACCAAATGTTTGAGACTGAACCCCTTGTGTGTACATTTTCTCAGAAGCACAAGCTATAATTTCAAGTGGTTGGCCGGGGTTAACATGTCTTCGTCTTGAGGTTTGTTGCTGCCATTTTCTATACGATTTGCTTTTAATTCTCCAAATTTTTAAATAACTAGTTGACATGTAGAAACTATTTAATACCAAATTAACTAGTCATAAAGTATGGACAAAAACTCACCTTAACTGGTTGACCTCGGCTCATTTTATCGACAAACATTGAACAATATCCAATATCTAAAACATTCCAGGTTTAGTAGTATTGTGTTGTGAGACCCTTAGGAAAGTAAAAAATAACTGTCTTATACCTATAAAGCATTTTCAATATTCTCAGTTGATTCATAGGCTTGGGATGTTGACATTTCCATGACAGGAATGCGGCCAAACAACCACTGGCGGTGTCAGCTTTCTGTTGGAATGTCACGCACTTGAAGATCTTACACTGCGTCACTCGGTTAGTGCCTCCCTCCCCTTTCTCTTACAATAACCTCTTGTCTTTGAAAGCAATCACCTTGTTTTTAGAGTTGATCGAACCATGCTTGTTATGGTGTTCATCGATAAAGTTTACTTTCCATCCGCATTGTGTGTATTTACTTTATGTTGGCTGATGGGTTGTTGTGGTTCGATGCTTGCAATAAGGTCGCTCGTTTCAATACTTCATGTAATGTCTAATACATGAATGCAACAGGAAGTATTGCTCGATATACAAAGACCATTGTCTATATATCACAAAATCATTAAAGGAATTAAGGGTGTGTTTGTTTGTGGGTTTGGATTTATGAATAGTAAAAAATTGATTTTGAATAGTTATTTGGTGTGATATAAATAAATATTGATGTGATATTTTGAATGTAACATAAATTTTTAGTATATTATAAAAAATATAATTGTTTGATTTGATATTTTTTAAAGAAAAAAAAAATTTGAATAATAATATTGCTGCATTGTGTTTGTAGGGCCATGGCATCTCGAGAAACTTCATCGTTCAATCTGCTTCTATGGTACGCCTTTCTGCAATTCATAACATAAGTAAATATAACACAACATTGAAACATGCTCCACTTCTACAATGATTGCAGCTGCCGATGCTTCGAAGAATCTCACTTGATGAATGCGATGCAGAGCACGGTGACTATGAGATTCCATCCGTAAGTTCTTTAGATACAGAATTTCTGTTATGTTTATATAATTATGGTCAATTAGCATGATCTGTTCTCACTTCGTTGTTCTTATTGATACGGCACATTACTTAAGTGAAAATTCACCCGCGCAACGGGACCTCCCCTTGCTTTGATAGTTATTTAATCATTTTGACCATATATAGATCTAAAACTGCATCCTCTGACAAAATCGACGTACTTCAGTTTTCCAACAGATACTTTCTAAGCGTCGTCAAGATCGCGAGATGTGAGCATCGGAAGAGGTCTTTCGATCTGCTGGGAAGTTGGTTGCACGAAGAGACGTTAGTTGTGGCCTGGAACAGTGAAAGAGTTGATAGGACAGTGGTGAAGGAGAGATTGTAAGCGCTCAAGTTGAAGATGAAGCTGAAGTTTCTGTCTCTTACCTATGCTCTGTTTGGTAAAATAAAACCATATTTGATGACTGCAATCAGGTCAGAGATTCATTTTTATTTTTAATTTTATCTTCTAACCTTTTTTTTTTTTAATTTTTTTTTCAAATATAGTTTTGTTTATATAAATAAAAGTGAGAATTTTTATATATTTATATATTGTTGATGTGGATTCATGACCAGGCTATAGCTGACTAATGAATTGCTCCTTTAGTTCAATATACTCCCCTCTGTACCAAATGGTCACTGAGATTTTGTAATAAATTAAAAAATAATACTTCTTCGACCGTATCTGCTCAGTTGTAGACACGGTATTTTAGGAGGGGTGTAATTAGTAGATAATTAAGAATGTATTAGTGAAAATAATTATTCGATAATATGAATAATTATAAATTAAAATAAAGATAAACTAATTAGTTTAATTAAAATTAAAAAAAAATTAAAAAGTTAAGTGTGTAATCATTTTCAAAAAAAGAAAAATGATATGATACGTGGGATGGACAAAAATGACAACGTGGACATGGTACGTTGGACGAGAGTCCTATGCTAAATTTAGTTTAAAATTAATTTTGTATTCTTAAATAATATATTTTTCTATCCACACATATATATATATATATATAGTTTTTTTCTATCTGTTTATAAATGCAATTTTATTAATATTTTTTTCATTAAGTTTGATTATATATACATCATAAATAATGCAATAAGTAATTGTATGCTTTTTTTATTTATATATAATTGAATAAAAACGTATTGAATGATACTCTATAGAATATTAATATGGTAGTGAATAACCCTACTTTAAAATATGTTTAATTTCATGACTATATATATATATATATATATATATATATTATTTTAATTCATTTTATTTTCAATTATTCTAAAACAATCCTAGATACAACTAAAGAAACTTTTTTTTTAATATACAATTCACATATAATTCCAAAAATATATAGATTTTTTTTTTTTTTTTTCCTTATAAAATGTCAACCAATATATTAGTTAAACTAAAATTTAAATCAAACATTTACCATACAAACCAATTTTATAGAACCATAGTTGAATAAATTTTTGATAGAGTAAATTTTATAAAATGTCAACCAATATATCGTTTGTTTGTTTTGTGAAAAAATTCATATTTTTTTTTTAAAAGAACTAATATACAATATATATTTATTATTTTTATATTATCCACTCAATTTCTTATATTTCATATAAATAAATAAAAAAAATCTCTTAAATAAAAAAAATATCTTTATAGAACTCTATATACAATTGTACATTTTGTTTTTAAAATTATTGATTAAAAATCCAATTGTGGGTTAAGTGTAACTATTTGGGCTATATTAAATGATCTATTAATTTATTGGGTTTCAATGTGTTTAGTAAGTGCAAGCCTTCAATGTACATAAACCCGATAACTTATTAATTGAGAGATGATGCCAATTAATACAAAGGGATATAAATAAGGTTGTGATCCCAGGTCTAGACTCAATATCCATTACGTTCCATATCTCATCGTGAGAGTAACGGCATAAATCCTAGCGGTTTTCTCACGAGGGATTGCACCATAAGCTTGAAAAACACAAAACCCTTCATTATTTGCAGATCTGAATCCGACTATGCTGAGGGAGGAATAAGGTTAGATCTAATTTGCTTTATTCTTATCTCAATTATTACAAACACGATAGATCCTGGACTAAAGGTTAAATTCCTGACCAGTTCCAACACTCTATATACAATTGTACATTTTGTTTTTAAAATTATTGAAAAATAGATGGTGTATTAGTTTGTGTTTAAAAAATAAAGTATAATAAATTATACTCCCTCGGCCCATATCTATATATCAATTTACTTTTTGCACGGAGTTTTAAAAATATTAGTATTATATTGGGATAAAGTAGAAATAAAGTTAAAAAGACTAAATTAACCTTATTTGTATTGTATGATATAAAAACAATGACATTTGTGTAATATATTGTAAATTGAAAGGGTATTTGTAATGTTAAATAGATATTATAGTTACTAAAAAAATTATTACTCTGCTATAAGACGGAGCAAAATGAAAAAATAGATAAATTGTCTTTGAAACGGAGGAAATAATAATTTAAATTTTTACTGAAATGATAATTTAAAATTCAAATTAGAATCAAACAAATTAATAAAATATTATTTTAATTAAAATTTTAAGCATGAATTTCAAATCAAAATTACAACAATGATTTATAACAGCCTAAATAGTGCTAATAATTTTTTTAAAAAAATATTAAATCAAAATTGTCCAAAGTCATTCAGACCATATAATTACCGGATTGCCCCGCGCCTGTCAACTCCACCGGATTTTTGAATCGGTAGGAATACAAAACATACAAAGATCCTGGATTTCAACACCTGAATATCTACACCGTCCATATTCCATAACTAATAAGATCAACGGTCTAAATCTTCCGGTTCTGAAGTCCATATCTATATATATAGTTCAAAATTCCAAGTCCTCCTTTCTCTCTCCTGTGGCCCTTCCGCCATTAACAGCTCCCCTCCATCTTCAACCTTCCCCCACTCTCACAACTTCTCCGGTTTCCATCTTCCTTCGTAATCTTCGTAATTTCGCTATCGAATCGCTTCCTTTACAGCGGTTCCGCAACCGAGAAACTTTGTTCTTCGCAGTAATGGCCGGCAAGCGGTTGCTGCACCAGTTGCTGGATGAAGAGCAGGAGCCTTTCCACCTGAAGAGCTACATTGCACGCCGGAAATCGCAGTTCGGTAAACATTCGCCGCCGGCGTCCGGTTTGCAGCTCAGAAAACGGAGGAGAAGTAGTTTCTGTTTTTTCCCCTTCCATCAATCGCCGGACGTGGATTTCCAATCGCCGGCGGATATGATCCCCTGTAAGTCCCCTGTGTTCCTCCGCGTTCCGCCTCCGACCGCCGCACTCCTCGCCAACGCCGCCGTGAGGATCCAGAACCAGCAGGGGAAGGTGCGATTTGGAATTCTAGGGTTTGGAGCTTTTCTTAAGAAGCTGAAGGATGGGAATAATAAACAGAAGCAGAAACGGCGTGCGGTTAAAGGAGAGACTAGTAAGGTTCTCGAAGCTTCTAGAAACTTTGAGGTCGAATCGATGAATGGTCAGTGTTCATCATCGCCGACTCCGTCCTCCAGCGACCGTACGCCGAAATTATGCTCTCCTCCGGTCTCCTCTCCCCACCGCCTCGAAAAACAGGTTCGTCTCTTCCTTCTCCGATCTCCTAAATTTTCCATTACTCAGTTAACACGACCTTCACGCTGCCGGAATCAGAATGTCACCGCTGTTCTGTTCCCGACGATTCAGATTTCTGTTGAACAGCAATTTCCTGCAGCTACAGAAAAGAACACAATCTCTGTTATATTCCTCCATTGATGATTTGATTCTTCTAATCCACAGATCGATTGTTTTTCACAAAACCTTCACCTGAACACGATTGACAGAGTATCATCATTCTCAATTGCAGGAACCAACAAATTCTGACAACGAAGCCGAAGAACACCGCAGTCCAGTCTCAGTATTGGATCCAATCTTCGACGAACACGACGACAATCACAGAAGCAGCAGCAGCAGCAGCAGCAGCTACGCAAATGTCCAAAGTAAGCAATCAACAATTCTCCTTTCTCCTTTCTCAAATCCATCAATTCCATACATTCATTTTAACCAATCCAACAGTACTCATGCTTGAATTCAAGCTCGATCGATCCATAGTTGCACTGACACAGTCCTTTCCAACTAATTAGTTGCTGTTCTTCATATGCAATAGTTTGCTTGCAAGATGCTCATATCGATCTTTTGTGCTATTCTTACTCAAAATTAGCAGGTCTAGAACAAGATTTCGAACTTGATTTCTTTTCATAAAATCAGGTCATTTGCATACCTCATTGAGTTTATGACGAAACCGGCACATCGCCAACAATATCTTGGGATAAGATGCTAATGTCTTTGTCTTCAAGTTCATCAATTTGTGGGGTTGTTACTTATTAATATCTCTTTCTGATTGAGTTGGTAGTCTCCACTAGGTGTCTTTTGGTACAAACAAATTAGACAATCGATACTTAGAAATTATATTTATTTAATTTTTATATTTATTAAACTATATTATTTTAATCTTATAAATATCATATTTAATTTTTTATTCAAATATTTAATTTTTTACTATTTTTTTTTTTCAAAAAAATTATACTAATATTTGATTGTACAAAACATCGTATTTCATTTATTATTTAAACAAAAAAATCACAAAAAATAATTTTTTTTATGGATTTTCACATGTTAAAATTTCTTATTGCTCGTTTATTTTTGATCGATTAATCCAAATACCTCAATTTTTTACCTTTATCAAATGAATTGCCTGTTTTAGGAAATGAGAGAATTAATTATCTCTCTTTCTTGGCAATTTTATTATCTATTGCAGTGTCTTTATTTTATTACTCTCCCGTCCGATGAAAGAGTGGCGTTTGCTTTTTGAACGTAGATTTTTGAATATTAGTATTATATTAGATTGTAATAAAAAAGACGAAAATACCTCTATTAGTATAGTGTAATATAAAAGTAATGACATTTGTGTAATATATTGTAAGTTGGAAGGGTATTTATTATATTAGGTAAGTAATACAATTACTAAATTATGAAATGATAACGGAAAATGAGAACCTTTCAATGGGACGGAGAGAGTATTATTATTATTTTATCTCTCCTTCAATATTGAAATTACTTCAGTTAAAACCAATTATATTATATCACCTTTATCTTATTATCTTTTCAACTTTTTAAAATTTATAATAATGATTTGGTTTTATATATTTTAATAATTGTCTAGTAATATTTATTATATAATATTATATTTTTATTCAATTTAAAAATATTAATTTATATAAACTTTGACAATATCATATAATTTTTATTATTATTTAATATTAAAATGATTTAAATTTGTGAGATTATTGGCACTTAGAAAATTCAAATATTGCAATAAAGTTGGATTAATGCATTGTTCAAAAATTATTCGTTTTCGATAATTTTGTTAAAAAGTTAGTTGAAAAAATTATTATTTTCATTGATCAATTGGTTGAAATTGAATATAATTTTTTAAAAAAAATTTAAATATTAAAATTGGATATATAAAAAAATATGATTGAAAAATATGTAGATGTGTGATATTTAAGTTATATTGTATAGATAAATTATTGATAAATTCAAAATTTTAAATTTTGGGTAATAATTATTTAATTATAATTATTAGAAATAATGAGTTCTTAAAAAAAAAAAGTAATATATGCTTATTAGCTGTAATTATTAATAGAGGTATAAGTTTCAATATAGTAAAAATTGAAAAAGTAATAATATAGGTAACGGTCTAGGCAATTTAATATATGCTCTTATGTATACTGTTGGGCACTCCTAGTCCTCGACTCCTTTTGTCCAATCATTGTGTCGAATAGTTCATCCTGCGAGGAACTTGCGTGTATGTGTAAAAATCCATCTTGGACTATATATATATACTGATGATCTCAATTTCGATGTACTGAATTCGTACAGAAGTGAAGCAACAACTTTTGCGTAGGCTCCGAAGATTTGAAAAACTCGCGGAGCTTGATTTGGGGGAGCCCGAGAAAAGCTTTCCGGATAATGATTCTCACAGCGATGAATGGGAAGTGTGCACTCGAGTATCCGACTATCATGGGGCGTCGTGCAACAAACAACGGGGTGTTGGGCTCATCGACCGATATGATGAGCCTAGCAACGAGAAAATAATTTGTTCCGGAACGGGTAGCCATGTATGGGGTCGAGTTTGCAAGATGAAGATCGAATCATGGAAACAAGAACTCAAGATCACCGACAAGATCGTCGAGGGTGAGTTGAAGAACGAGTGCCATCGGAGATGGACAAAATTTTCCGAGCAAGTCGAAGAGACGACGGAAGAAGTCGAACTTGAAATTGTTGAAACTTTGGTGGAAGAATTGTTAGAGGGGATGCTCTTTGGTACGTTTCCATGTTCATCAAATTTTTTATATTTAAAATTTCGAGATTTTTATATATTTGATTAATAATTAATTGATATATATATATATATCATTTCAAACATTTATTTTTAAAAATATACTATTTTTAATATAATGTAATTGGAGGTATACAACCATCTAAATGTACTTGTAAATTTGGCCAAGTTTCGATATGATAATAACTTGCTTATAAATTAAATGAGTTGATTATGAATTGTTACTATATGCATATTTATTTATTTTTAAATAATATATATGAAGAATTATTACTCCCTCCGTCCCATAATTACGTATCCGTTTTTTTGCACGGAATTTTAGAAATATTAATATTATATTGGGATATAGTAGGAATAAAATAGAAATAACTAAAGTGTAGTATATTGTAAGTTGTAAGGGTATTTGTAATGTTAAGTAGATAGCTAGTACAATTACTAAAAAAAGAAATTGATACTTTGTTATGGGACGAACTAAAATAAATAAATAAATAATTTATTATGGGACGGAGAGAGTATTATTATTATTATTTTATTTTATTTTTTTTATTTTTTTTTTTTAAAAAAAGACAATGTAGACGTATAACATGCAATCTTTATTGAATGGTACAAATAGAAAAGATTTGAGTTAGTTAATTATGTGCAAACAGGAATGACCACAAATAGTTTAGGGAGTTTTTAAAAAGAAAAGAAAAAAAAAAATAATTTAATTTGGTTGGTGTAGTTCAACCACCATGATTTAGAAAGCCCAACACATCCATTTAATTTTAATTTATGAAATCCTTTTATTTATTATTATTATTATTATTATTATGATTGTTGTTGTTGTTGTTTGGTAATGAAATTTAAATTTTATTTTATTCATAAAGAATGATAAATATTTATATTATGGTATAAATCATCTAAATAAATTAATAACGTATGTTCCAAAATTATTGCATGTCAATTAATAATATAAGATAATCAAACTTATGCATCGAAATAATAGTAAACTCAAATTCATTTTTTTTATTTTAGAAATAATTATTTATGAATGAGCCAGATAAACAATAACAAAACTTAAAAAAAAAAAAAAAAGAATTCCGTAGTTTAGTGGTGTAAAAATAGACTTATACTATAAGATCATGAGTTCAAACCAGACGTCTCCAAATTTTATCAGCCACCTACTACTACTACTAATAATAATACACTAATATATACTTGCTTTAACTATTAATTTCTTTTAAGGATATTATGGCAATTTCATAGGCAGAAAATTTATGTATTTTAAAAATATATTGGGTGTGTATGATTTTGAATTTTTGTTTATTTAAGTAATATTTGAAGAAAGTAATATTTTATAAAAATCATAATATATTTTTATAATGAAGAGTAAAATTTGTTTATTTACAAAATGAAAAAAAAAAAATAGAAAAATTCATCAAACAACATAAAAGTTATTTAATAGAACATGAATTATATTACACATTTAATCAGTTAATACTAATAAATTATAAATATAAGGCGTACGATGCCATAGATTATATATACATAATCTTTACATTATAAATTATTGCATAAAAATTTGATATAAATATTACGAGTAAACTTTCATAATAATAATAATAATAATAATAATAATAATAATAATAGAGTTGGTTGTTTGTTGATTTGTTTTTTTGGAACAATAATTCATATATAATATTTTATAAAAATATAAAAAATAATTAAACAACAATAATAATATATAAAAAGAAGAAGATCGCAGGGTCCCAAAATCAAATAATGACTTATAAAAGTGGCTACCTAATTTGATGACTCATCACCAAATTTCATATTGTATATTAAAATAATACTCACTCCTACCCTTAACAATTTATCCATTTTTTCATTTTGATCCGACTCATAATAAAATATCCATTTCCTTTAACATTACAAATATCCTTCAAATTTATAATATATTACAAAAATATCATTATCTTTATATCATACAATACTAATAGTGTTAATTTAGTCTTTTTATTTTTATTTCTACTTTATCTCAATATAATAATAATATTTCTAAAACTCCGTAAAAAAACAAATGTATATATAGATATGAGAGGGAAGGAGTAATAAAAAAAAAAAAACCCTCTATGCTTATATTTATCGGTCATCTAAATTTATTTTACACTCTCCAATCTATATGTAGTGTGTTTGGTAGAAGGTTTTTAGCGTTTAATTTTTTATTTGAATGATGATTCAAATATAATGTTTTGTGATAAATTAATATATTTTCAAAAAGAGTTGTGAAAGTTAAATGATAAAATTTTGAAATAAAAAATATATATATATCAAAAGAATAAACCCAATTTTATACTATACAATTTATTAAATTTTTTTTAAAAAAAAATATATATAATATTTTATACAAAAATAATTTTTTAAATTAAAATTCAAATAACACTATCGAATCAAAGCACAAAAACTATTATTCTTACAAAAAATAATTTATAAAAAATATTAACTCGTTAACAGCCCAAGTTAAAATAATCTCATTCTTTAAGTGACCCAATTAAAGGCATTGCAAGAAAGCCCAAATAAGATTATCTAAAGAAAGCCCCAAATATATATATATATATATATATAATAATACTTCCTTAGTCCCTTATGAGAGGGTCTTTTGGAGTTGTGTATTAGAGTAAAAAATAATATTTTAAATATCCACCTCTAAGGGTTATATTTATTTTTACGTCGTTGTATTTAATATTAAAAATATTTTTATATTTTTATAATTTCTTTTGTAAAAATGTCCTTCTATTAGAATTATAAGATATTTGTGATGTTTTGTGCATATTACACTTTGACCCGACCCAGCCTATCGAAACCCGGATCCTGTGCCCGCAGTTCGACCCGATTGAGTGATGAATTCGATGATGGGTTCGTTTGGCCTGAACCGTCCTGGACCGCCCTCAAACCGGACCAAGGGGTCTTAATATATATTGGTTTCCTCGGTTCGCTGAACAGATTGATTTTTCACTCCTTCATATCGCGATTTCACTCTCTGGAGCCCTAACTTCCCCGACGAACGCGATCGACCTGTTCTTGGCAATCCAGCGAGTTTGGCCATCGGAACTTGAAGTTCATCCATCGTGGTTGTATTACAGCTTGTCCTAAAGCTGTTCTTTGGTTTGATTTCTCGATTATGCCTTTATGTACTGTTCGTGGTGTGAATTGATTTTCCGCAATGATTTAGGCTTAGAATCTCGAGATTTCTTTCGATTAGGTTGTTAATCGCGCTGATGTGTGTTTATGTGGATGTCGGTAGTGTTTGGATTGAGATTGTGTGTATATGTTGCTATTCGGTTGGAACTTTGGGTAAACTGAATATATAAAAGATTTGATGTTCTTTGATTCATATGTGTTCGATTATTGTTAAACTACAAGCGCTAGGTCCTATTTTCGATTACAATACTAATTGAAGTATTTTTGTAATTTTTTCTTAATTTGTATTACATTTTGATATAATAATTAATATTCAAATATTAACACACAAAAAGTAAATGAGACACTTAGAGTCGGATGGTTAGTGGAAGTATGCAAGAGATTTTGATATTTTTGTCTTTAACTTTATGTATAAAGGTAATTATATGCATGGTACGTTTGTAATTTAAACTAAAATTAAAATTATTTTAGTATTAGTGTATGATTACTTTTTTTTAAATAAAAAATAAATACTTTAAAATATAATAGACGAAAATTGTAAAAAAAAGATTTTGATATATCAATTTTAAAATTGGTTAAATACTATCTTTACATAAATGATAAAACACACTTACGTTTTATATTTCATTATCATTACCGACAAGATTTTTATTCCTTGCATTCACGTTGATATTTCCAAAATGAGTTAATAAGTGGATTTTTGCAAAGGATTGATTCCCTTGCAAAATTCTCTAGAAAATCATCCTTTTTTCTTTTTTTTTTTTTTTTAAGTTGTGAGAGAAAAAGTTAAGTAAAATTTCTCAAAATTTCTTGTCATTTATAATTTCTACACTCGTTCTAAACCGTGACAATTTTACATTATAGGAACTCATTCCAACAATTATCCAAATATTGACATATGCGTCAACTACGGGATGATCTGGTGGTGTGGGGATAGACTCGTGACCGTAAGATTATAGGTTAAAACCTCGACGTTTTCAAGTTTTGTCTGTCACACATGGTTCTCCTAGTATGACTTGTCTTGTCAATCCTAATTTGTAGACTATTAGATTCGATTGAAAATTTATCTAAAATGCACCTGAAAGATAATGGCTGCAGATTTCTATATTATCAAAATATATATATATATATATATTGACATATGCACAAAAACCGTATAATACAAGGTAAAAGAAGTCTAACCCAGTTACATTACAATAACACACAACAAATAAACTACTCGACCAAACTAAACTATGTGAAATGACAACAAAATATTAGACACACATACATCAAAATGACTAAGGGAGCACTAGATCACCGCCAGGTCATGAAGGTTCACGAGAGCTTGAATCCTCTCCAGGTGCTCTATGATGCTCATATTTTGTTTTATCAAAAACTGTTGCTGCTACTCTATGTTTGTTATGCGTTGATCGTAAACAGGATTTCTTGAATTACGACCATCACTACTGAACGACGATCATTGAGTAAACACTGTTAATACTAACGTCTTCAATCCGAATATACGGTTCTTCTCAAAAACATTTCACGATTGCTCATCTTATACTTTTTCATTTACTTGATCAATGCTTATGTATTGAAATTGTAATAATGAAAACCAACAAACAAATGAATAAAATAACTTCAGCACATAAAAAACTTAAATCGATGAATACACACACTTATATAAATTTAAAGAACAAAAATATCAAAATCTCTTATACACTTACACTAAACAATAAGATATGATTATTTTTTAATCGGTTACTAAATCCAAAAAAATACATTTGAATGAAATGAAAGAAATAATAATAATAATAATAATAAAATTTGAGGGCTTGGGGTTCAGCTACCCTCCAAGTTCCTTAGTAGATCCGTCACTGCTTTCAGGGAGTTTTTGTAGGAAGATATTTTGGCCTCGCAAATGAAAAGGTGATGAGTTAGTCATTTAAATTCAAATTTCGCTAGGAAATGAAATCCAAGGGTGTATTTATTTGTGGGTTTGGATTTTTTTGGTTTGGATTTTTAAATAGTAAAAAATTGAATTTAATAATTGATTGGTGTGATATAAATAGATATTGATGTAATATTTAGAATGTAAAATAAATGTGTAGTATAACACAAAAAAAAATAAAAATTAATTGTTTGATTTGATATTTTTTAATGAAAAAAATAAAATAAAAATTGAATAGTAAAAATTTGGGTAAAATCATGAATGAACACAATCTTCAAAATTGTAAGGAAATATATGCTCTAGCAAAAATCCGTTGCAGAATTTTAATATTGTCATTATTCCCAACCTGCTCCGCAATTTGCAAATTGTCATTCCTAGCACAAAAACACTATTTATTTATTTATTTATGGTTAAACTGTTTTTTTTAGTCCCATAACTGGATTATCATTATGGTCTCATAAGTGACCATGTCGCAAATTAGTCGAAAGATTTTCGACGTTTAGTCCTCCGGCACCGAAGACGCCCGCGTGGCTCGCATGTCAGTGACACCTGGTGGACACATGAATTTTATAATTTTATAATTCTTTTTAAAATTTATTTTTAATTTTATTTGCCTTTTAAATTTTTTTTTATTTGGTCCAATTGAAAAAAAAATTAAAAGAAATAAAGTAAAATAAAATCCACGTATCTGCCAAGTGTCGCTGACCTGTCGGGACACCTAGCGGACACGTGGCTTCCGGCGAGCCACGCGGGTGTCTCGGGCATTGGAGGACTAAAACAACAAAAAATTTTCACTTGTAAAACTAGTTTGCTACAGACTTTAATTACGAGACTAAAATGATAAAGGGTCTAGTTACGAGACTAAAAAAACAGTTTATCATTTATTTATTTATTTATTTATTATTATTATAGTGATTTTAACATATACTTATATAAGATAGGAGGAGGAAGTATGTGATATATTCCTGATATGCTATATTGCTGCTGTTGTAAGCAACAGCATTTGTCGATGTTGGATGTGACAACTATTATATATATATATTTAATTATTTATAATGATCAATAAAACTTATAATTACCCTTACTACTGGCCTTAATCCTTCTCATTAATCATCACTAATTGTCCACTGCTTTACTACACATACATACATATATATATATATAATATTAAAAGAAAATTATCACCAAGAATAAATTAATAATAAATAAAGCTACTAAACACATAATTGAATTGTTTTAATGTACTGTCAAATATTTATTTATTTTCGAAAAAGAATAAAACATAACAAAAGTAAGTATATATGTGTACAAAGCATTCCATTCATAATTAGCTACATAAATAAACAATTTAATTTTTATTTTTAATCATACTTCAATATTATACTCCATCCGTCTCAAAAGAAGTGTCTTATTGAGAGTTGGCACGGAAATTAAGGAATAATAGTATTTAATTGAAAGTGGATATAAAGTAGAATGTAAATAACTAAAATGCTCTTGCTTTTTGAAGGATTTTAAAGAGTATGTTAGATTAATAATTAGGGGTAGTATGAAAAAATAGAAATAATTTTGTTATAAAGTGGGGACCACAGCTACTAAATAAGGAAACAAGACAATTGTTTTGGGACAGACGAAAATGGAAAAACAAGACAAATCTTTTGGGACGGAGGGAGTAGTACTTCGGGTTCTTAGTTGTGTATGTAAATTTTGTATTTTAATTTAGTTCTTAATCATACTTCAAAATATTCTTAGTTCTTAATCAAAATATTATATCAAATATCATGCTATAAAAGACAAATTTTATTTATTTATTAGTGAAGTAAGAAAAGGACAATTACAAAATACAAATACAAACACAAACATACTAATGTTTTTATTAAACTTCACATTGCATCAATACATATATTTGATTTGTTATAAGATCGGTTAATTATTTAATCGATAAAATTTGATTTTAAATTAAATTCGTAATTTTCGGAACTAATTATTCGGTGAGTTAAAATGCATGTAACTTGTATGGTAGTTATTGATAGTGCAGTTAGACATATAAATGATGGTAAGCTACAGGCGCGCGTGCCACCTGTCAGGACCAGATAATTACATGCATACATGATAAATAATTATTAAAAATTTAAAATTCAAATAATATATTTATGATCGGAACTAAATTTGGTATTTATGACCGGAATTAAATTGATATTTATAACCGAAATTAGATATGATGTTTATTGTCGGACGTTATCGAAATTATGGCTGACGGTTACAAGCCATAAAAAACCGAGGTTTCGACTCGGCATTTATGGGAGTTAATTATATAAATAATCAATAGTGTTACTATATAAAGAAAGTCAAAGACGGAATGATTATCATATGTTGACTATATTTAGTATATATATCTATACAAATTAATTAATACATCAAACTGAAAGCACTGCCTCACCGGACACTTCAAATCAAACCTTTTAACACAAAAAAAAATAAAAAAAAAGTATATTCATAACGGAATAGTATATTCATAACTGAATTCTATCACTAAAGATCACGTAGCTAACGTAATTCCATCATTAATTTCGTCTCTAATATCATTGGTAACGGAAAAAGTGAATTTAAAGACGAAAAAATCTCGTTACAAAAATGATATTTTCTTGCAGTGTAAGTTGTTCGATATTTTAAACTAGATTTTAAAAAGTGAATTTTAAATTAATAAATTTCTGAAATATTATTTATATATAAGTTTACATTACTAAAAAATTTAAAACATTAAAATTGATGAAAGTTCCATTTGAAAATATCAAAATGTCTTGAAAATGATCAATATGTTTAATATGGAAATATTAATACTAAAAAAAAATTAAATAATTAGGTATAGTCTGTCAAGAGACTTAAAGGGTTTGTTTGCTTAATTATTTTTTTCTAATATAATTTTTCAAAAAAAAAAATTAATATTTAACATATATACAATATTAACTTTATATTAGCAATATAATTTTCTATATTTTACATTAAAAAATAATTTAAACTAAAATATTAAACAAACAAACTCTTATACTTTGATTATATATACTTTCAAATTATTTTTTATGCTATTTAACTATAGTAAAAAATATATATATATATTAAAAGATATCATATTAAATAATTATTTTATTTTATAAAACATTACATAAAATATAAACTTGTTAATTACTTTTTTAAAAAAGTTTCAAAAATTTTAATTTTTTTTAATAACATGGAAACCCGCAAGACTTTTTCTGGGTTTTTTAGTCGTGCAAGAATGACTCGGTAATATTATATTTATTGTGCCTTTAATTAAATATTAGAACATTCTCATCAAATGATCGATTATTTATTTATCGCATTGTTTATGATCGAAAGTGATATATAGGGGGACAAGATCGACATCGAAGTCATTAATGAATCTTTGTCACTTCTCATGGCTTAATAATCATAAGAAGAAGACGAGCTAGTGTGTTATTGTAAGATTTTATTTTAATTTTTTTATTATACAATTATCGGTATTATTAGCAAAAATATATTCCTTAAAATAATTATTTTAACAAAAAAAAAAAAAAAACTAAACTTTAAAAGAACACTCTTGTTTAATTTGTGGAGGGTATATATATATACTAATTAGTAATATGAGTTGTTGGGATAACCATAGATAACTGAATTAACAGCTTTATAAGAATGGAAGTTTCCCCAAATTTTATTATTTGGATTTTGCATTTTTCGAAAAAAATATATTTTTTCCTCTCACAAAACATCCAATCAAATATATAAGAAACTACATTATTTTATTATTTGAATATTATTTAATTTATAAGAAACTACATTATTTTATTTTCACTGATAGAATATACTCTCTTCGTCCCATATCAAAGTATCCATTTTTTCATTTTAGTTTGTCCCATAACAAAGTATCCATTTCCTCTTTTAGTAACTGTACTATCTAACTATCATTACAAATACCTTTACAACTTATAATATATTACACAAATGTCATTACATTTATCCCAATAAGGTTATTTTGGTCATTTCTATTTTATTCCTACTATATCCCAATATAATACTAATATTTCTAAAATTAGGAGCAAAAAGCAAATGGATACTTATTTTTGGGACGTACGGAGAGTGTATATATATATATAAGTACACGAACAATCACTCATTCGACTTTCATCATCACGGAACTAACTGGAAAACCCTAACTAGAAATTAAATAAATAAAAATTACCACATACGATAATATTATTATTAGTTATTAATACCAACATTATTTGTACATCGATCTCAAGTTGTTGAAATATCTGTTATCATTTACCAAAGCATTTGGTGTAAATGCAATCCAAATTCATACATACATTCACACAAATATATATATATATATATATAACACATGAAACCATATTACAACAATAACTTAAACAAACCAACAAAAATTACTTCACAATTATACATACATATATATATATATACTTAGAGAGAGAGAGAGAGTGAGAAAGTTAAGGATAGTCCCAAAGGCCTGGTTCATGATAAGCATTATTACCCTCATTAATGGCGGAAGCAGCTTCATCGGAAAAATCAAACCTCGGAGGGCTAATCATCATTCCTTCAGCCATATTCACCAAAACATTCGGCATATCAAATATCAAATCCTCGTCCACAAATTCCATCACCGCCGCCGCATGCGGCGGCGGCGGCGGATCATCACAGTCCATCCCTCCAACAGCATCCGCCGCCGCCCCGGCCGCCGCCGCGGCGCTCGCCGCCGCCGCCTGAATGTCTCGCGGTGACGTGGAAGCAGGAACCGGCAAAGACGCCGCCGAATCGGGGAAATTGAGCTCCGCCACCTTCCCCTTGAGCGCCAGCGCCGCCACGTCATACGCCACCGCCGCCATCTCGGCGGTGGGGAAGGTCCCGAGCCATATTCTGTTGGGGGACCTGGGCTCCCGGATCTCCGAGACCCATTTCCCGCTACTTTTCCTCTTCCTCACTCCACGGAAGACCGGGTGCCTCCCCGACGGCGGCGATACGCTTCCACCACCACCGCCGCCGGAGGCGCCGCCCTTTTCCGATTGCGCCGACATTGGGAGCGTGCAATTAATGTGTAATTAAAGGGAATTTGGTGAAGGTGGAGGATTAGGGCAGCCATGGGAAAGGGTTTTATAGCAGAATAGGATTATGATCGAAATAAAATCAGACAGAGGATAGAGCAATGGAATTGGTGCAAACCAGTTGTGAATTGAAGGACATGGGAATTAAATTAAATGAATTTAGGAGTGGCGATGAGGTGTAGGGCAGAGGAGATCGATCCAATGTTGTTGAAGATGGAGTTCTGGGTTGTAATTAAGCTGCAACCTTCTCTCTCTATCTCTCTTTCTCTCTCTTCTGTAATAAAATTAGACTTTTTTTTTTTGATCAAGTTCACGCACCTATCTATCTATATACTACTGTGATGCTACTTGCAGTTGATTTTGCCCTTATATATATATATATATATATATATGTGTGTGTGTGTGATGTCTTATCCAACCAATTACTTAACTTAATTGCAACCACATAGTACTTGTTGTTGGGAGTTTTAGGTTTTCCATGTTGGAGATATGGATTTTGTGAGGTGTTAATAAGTCTGTTTTGAGTTATTTTGGATTTTTGGAAAAAAAATTTAAATGAAGTTTTGGATTTAATGTTTTCATTTAGGAAAATGAATAACACAAATAGTTTTTTTTTTTTTTTTTTTTTTCGATTGATTGAAGAGTATAGTTGTTGGATATAATATTTGTATAGAAATTGCATATTGGATCGATTTTATATCTCTTTTAGGACAAATAAACAATTGAATATTAAAAGATTTGTTTACTTCTGATTTCAACACAAATTTCTTACAGTCTAAATATGTGATTTTTATTTTTTTTCTTTGATTTTTAAGTTTGGATTAATACGATATTTATCTATTTTAGGTTAAACCCATATGTATTTGTTTTATAATTTCTTCCAAAAAAAGATCTTATGGAGTTCGATATGAAATTTATAAGGTGTTAGTACTTTATTTTTTTATTTTTTTTTTATTTTTTTTCATTTTCCAATATAGTACTTTAATTTACATCCCAACAAAAATTTAACATCAATTTTCCATTACAAGTAACGATTTCCAACACTATTTTATATAAAAAGAAATATAATACATACAACTCACAACTAACAAATCATTATTTTGTATTTTGAATGTTTTGGAAATATTTTTTTTACTTTTTTATTTTCTGAATGATTAGTCTTTTTTAAAAATGCAGATTTCATAAATAGAAGTAAGATGTTACATGTAATATATACATATATTTAAAAAATACATTATTATAAGTTAAATAATGTAAAAAATAAAATTGAAAATACAAATAAATACACCATGGTTTCTATTTCGGACTCTGAATTTAGAAAGTTGCGTGGCTTTGTTGGTTATATATACCCCATTTATTTGGAATTTGATTTCAATTTACCATGCAATTTTTTCTTTTTTTTTATAAAGATATATATATATATATATACAAAATTTAAAAAACACACCCATAATATTCTTCTTTTAAAAATACTTCCTATTTATATACTTCCTTTGATAATTTACTTTTAAAATATTTGTTTATTTTTTTGGCACAAAACTTTAATAAATATTTTATTCTAATGAGAATCGGCAATATTTTTATATGAAATTTTTTTAATGTGTGTATTAATAAAATAGTGAAATCCATATTTAAAATAAATATTTTGTATTTAAATAATTGAAAATAGAAAAATAAATTCCCTTAGAGTTGACAAAAGGAGGTTTTTTTTTTTTTTTTTTTTCTAGCCCATAATAATAATAATAATAATAATAATAATTAATACTATATAATCCAACTCATGGAATGGTACGGACAAGAATGGTTTCAATGTGGCGACTCCTTTTTCTTGCATGAATTTCAATAATTACATACATATAAATATTTGTATTAAAACTACACTATTTATCATTATGCAGCCAAAGAATTTTAATTTTGTTTGGTAAGGAAACTAATTGTTGGCTAATTTTAAATTTAATTTAGGGTTTATATATGCGCGTGCCTCACACACACATTTGTGTACATAAAGCGTGTTTATGATATGAGATTAAATAATGTTCATAAATTAATACTCTCTCCGTTTCAAAACTATAGTTTGGGTTGTGTTTGACATAGGATTTAAAGAATATTGATATTATATTGTTAGCGGGTAAAAGGTACGGATAAAAAACTTGTTTGTCCTTATGAGTGTATTAGTGTAAAAAGCAGTGGCAATTGTGTAATAATAATGAAAAAGTAAGGTACTTTTATAGTAATATAATTATTTATGAAAATGAGACTATTGTCTTAAAACAGACAAAAATAATAAACAAGACTATTATATTAGGACAAAGAGAGTATTTAAAATTATTTAATTATCGCATAGTAAACACATCAATAATATATATGAAAAAATTTAACCCGCCACAATATTTGAACACAAACCACTTGCAAAATCACCGAGCTAGGTGGGTGGGTGCGTGGGTGGGTAGGTACAAAAAAATAAAAATAAAAATAAAAATATTGCACATATATTACTTATAATAATTTCGATCTCATTCAATGGATCGAGCGGGATTAAGTCATTTCTAATCTTATTTTACAAGATCACGATATTAGAGACGAAACTCTGCAAATTAAATTCGACAGACAAGTCATACTAGACGAACTATGTGTAATAGATAACCTGAAGCGTCGGGGGTTTAAACCCATGACCTCACGATCACACGTCCAACCACCAGACCATTATTTACGGGACAAATCCTCAATTTTACTTTTCATAATATAATAGATGCATTTTCTTATATATATATATATATATATATGTAAAATGTTTATAAATAGTAATATATACTCCCTCCGTCCCACATAATTTATTCATATTTTCTATTTTCGTCCGTCCCACATAACTTGTCCTTTCTATTTTTGAAAATATAATTATATACTTTAATCGCATTTTAAATTTTAAATTTTATAATTTTCTTAATTTTAATTAAACTATTTATTTATCTTAATCTTGATCTATAATTATTTTTACTAATGAACTTCTTAATTACTTACTAATTATACTTTACCTAAATTCCCGTGTCTACATTAATACACTCATATTACATGGGACAAAGGGAGTATTTTTTATTTAATAAATATGAGCATCAAAATATTAATAAAATAACTTGTCATTTTATATAAAAGTACAAAGATATTTATTTTACAAATATTCTATATTAGATATGACCTAATTTTCCTTACAAATATATATTATATCTCCTAAAAATATATAAAATACTACTATTCTTTCCATCATCAAAATTTATTTTCACTTTTCTTTTGTAATTGTTATTTAAATTTATTCTTATTTCTCTTTTTAGTAAAAAAAAAATATTATCATTTTTTCTATTTTATTTTTACCATAAAAAATATATATATTTATCTATTTTTTTAAAACTTGTACCAATTCAAATGAATATATATTTACATGACAGATGGAGTATTATTCTTAGATAAATTAAAATACAAATAATCACTGTATCTATTCTTCGAGGACGATATATATTTGTCATCCGTACATATCTTTTTCAACATGTAATCATATTTATTAATTAAAATATATATATATTTATATATATATATATATAACGTTTAAATAAAAATCATTAATTTAGACTATCATCAAACAATAACGAATATTCATGAATATAGTAAATCAATTTTTTTTATTTAATTCAACAAACGATTTTGATTTCATCGAACCAAATGTTCTAAATAAAACCATAGATATATATATATATATATCTTAAAAAATATGCAGGGATTAGCCGACGACTGATATATAACTATAGGCACCAATTAAGGGATTTACTTTATTAATTTATTTAAGTAATTAGGGTAATTTGGTAACATTTTTTATTTAAATATTTATTTTTGAATTGGTCCTTTTCGTGATATATCTGTTAGAGCTAGCAAAAAAATTAATCTGACACGACAATCCGACACGACCTGATACAAAATAATTTAGTTTGGGTCAAAGATTTTAACCAAATTATGTATAAGGGTTGACACGAACCCGACACGATAATAAACGGATCGAGTTAGGGTCGAGGCTCTCATATCGAACCTGACACGACAATTCGATTATAATATATTAATAGTGATTAATATATTCATTATATAGGTAAAATAATCATAATTTAATAATTTTCTCATAAATTAATTTAAATTAAGTTCAATTTTAAATAATTCAACCTAATTTACGCACACGACAACACAACAAAAAATTATTTAATTTAAATCAAGAAATTTGACTTAATTAAGTATACGGGTCAACACGAGTCAACTCAAACCCGACACGATAATAAACAGGTCAACTCGAAGCCGACATGATAATAAACAAGTCGAATTAGGATCAAATAATTTAACCCGTTTAAAAGTATTCAATGCGAACAAATTCATTATCAGCTCTAATATTTGTGCGTGTGTACTGTACGTAATTAATATACCCACGCCAGCCTCAATGTACTAATATATTACGTCATCAACCCTATCTTGCCTAGGTTTTTGTAAGTAATAGTATTAATTACTCAATTTTCGTCAAATTTATACATATTCTTTCCATAAATTTATGTCTTAAATTTATATTTTTATACTATATATAATACTACTGGTTACTTCATTCATTAAAAGCTTTTAGCCTGTTTATTTGTGGGTTTTTTTTATATGATTTTACCGTTTCAATTTTCTTTTTATTTTTCAAAAAAATATTAAATTAAATATATAATATTTATTTATTATATTACATTAAAATTTTATTTTATATTAAAAATATTACATTAAATAATTATTTTAATTTAAAATTTTATTATTCAAAATCAAAATCTCACGTAAACACCCTAAATTGTTTTTATGTTTATATTTATTATTATAAAAAATAAAGTTGTTTATTTTTTAATAAAAAATTGTATGTGTCAAAAGTAAATAAATACTCCATCCGTTTCAAAAAAAAATTATTTTTACTTTTTATACATAGGTTTTCTTAATATTAATTTTATATTTATTAAATTGTAATAAAAAAAGACAAAAATATTTGTATTAGTATTATATATAAATAATGATATTTTTTTAAAAAAATATTGTAAATTAAAAGATTATTTATTATACTTTTTTCGTCCCATAACAAAATATCATTTTTTTCATTTTAGTCCATCCCATAACAAAGTATTCATTTCTTTTTATTTAGTAACTGTACTGTCTACCTAACATTGCAAATACCCTTACAACTTACAATATATTA